GTTTTATTATCATTGTTTATCATATGTTCTCTTTTAGCAAGATGATGATTTTATGAGTGATGATTACAGCACTAGTAAACAAAATGACAGTAATACTGATGATGATGAAAATGTTAATGAAGAGGATGATGATGATGATGATGGTGATGACAAGGATGATGATGATGATGATGATGAAGATGAAGATGATGAGGAGGTTGACACAATAGGATCTTAATAAGAACTTTTTACATTGCTTTGTAAACATCATCACTCACCATGCTTTCATGTATGGTAATTGTGAAGAAGAGCTCCCCAAAAAACCTGTCGGCCGACTGTCGGTCAACTGTCGGCTGACAGTCGGCCGACAGTTGGTCGTCTGTTGGCCAACAGTCGGCCGACAGACGGCCAACAGGTTTTGCCCAAAATATAGGCTACCTGTCGGCCAACAGTGGACCGACAGTCGGCCGACTGTTGGTAATGTGTCGGTAACCTGTCGGTAGCTTGTCCGTGAAACGTTAACACAAACCTTAAAGTTTTCTCTCAGTTTTCGCTTGATACAACATCCAACATGTGTAATACGTTGACAATTGACTTTCAAGATTTGGTGGCTCCTTAAGGAGCCGTTTTGTGAGTGGTGAAATATACAAGATACTTAACCTGTTGTATTAACCCTAAGTCGGTAACCTGTTGGTTAGCTGTCGGTAGACTGTCGGTAACCTGTCGGCCGACAGTTGACCGACAGTCCGCCGACAGGTTTTTTGGGGAGCTCTTCTTCACAATTACCACATGTATTAGATAAATCCATCTATTTGTTCACAAGTAATGAAATACTCCAATCCCCCTGCCAACCAAGAAAAATAAATATCTAGCTGACATTACTAACAGATAGCAAGGTATTAGAAATTCCACTCCAAGCCAAGGCTTTTATTTTTCATGATATTAAAAATAAAACCATGCTCTATGACTCATACATATAATTCATAAAGTCTTAATTTGTAGGTTTTGCAGATGTTCTCTTAACACAGTTTTTCATAAATACAAATGAGTTGATAGTGGCCAATTTATTTTAGATGTTACCCATAGAGAGGAAAGCTAAAAAGCTTGATGAGAAAAAAGCCAAAGACAAGTAAGTATATTTACCTGTAGCTCAGACATTTTAAAAAAGCTAGGGGCCAATGTTAACCATCCACTTCTGAGAGCAAAGTGTCTCTCACAAGAAAATTCAGCAGGGACTCATCAGACAAACCCAATTGTTTTTCCCACATGTGAACATCATTGATAATGAAAACTCCAACGCTCAAAACAGGCTATAGTTTATGTACAGTATATCTTGTATATGTGTGAACTCCTAAATACTTCTTTCCAGTTAGTCCTTTTTTTTACTAATTTTAATTGTTTGAATTCAACTTTTTCTTATTGGCTGTAACTTGATGTGACATGATTATCCTTTTTCATAAGGGCCTTAGCTGAAGAAGAGCTTATGACTAACATCACTGAAACTGAAGTGTTTGTGCTGCCAAGTGGACAGGAAATAGAGAAAGAAGGTATAAACAAGCCAATTACAACAATTTACTCTTCAGTGATTACAACATGTAAAATGTTATATTGGATTGATTTTAAAAAATGGTAATCTGAAAAAATTGGAGTGAAATTTCTGCCTCACTTTTTTTTTCTTTTTAGTTATTCAAAACCACATTGTCATTACTTGTTAAACTTTATTTTCCTTTTGGTTATTCAAAACCACATTGTCATTACTTGGTAAACTTTTCTTTTCTTTTTGGTTTTTCAAAACCACATTGTCATTACTTGGTAAACTTTTCTTTTCTTTTTGGTTTTTCAAAACCACATTGTCATTACTTGGTAAACTTTTCTTTTCTTTTCTTTTTGGTTATTCAAAACCACATTGTCATTACTTGGTAAACTTTTCTTTTCTTTTTGGTTATTCAAAACCACATTGTCATTACTTGGTAAACTTTTCTTTTCCTTTTGGATATTCAAAACCACATTGTCATTACTTGGTAAACGTTATTTTCCTTTTGGATGGGACAAAGAAAAGATTCATCCTGCGCTCATGACAAGACAAAAAACATCTTTTTCTATTTCTTTACCAAGTTAAAAACTTACCATCTCTCTAATTTCCATTACGCACATTATGCCATCAACATTGCTGATCCTAGCAGTATGTAGGACGTGTGTCATATGAACTTAATATTAGACTTGGCTCACCATGGAGTCTCTGTGGCTCAGTGGTAGAGCATCAGAGCATGAAATCTGAAGGTCTGAGGTTCAATTCCTCATGGGGACTCAGAATTTTTTCTTTGTCCCACACTTGTGACAAGACAAAAAAAATCTTTCTCTATTTCTTTACCGAGCCCAAAACTCACCATCTCTCTAATTTCTATCTTCAAACAATATGCCATCAACATTGCTGATCCTAGCAATATGCAGGACGCGTGTCATAAGAACTTCATAATAGACCTCGCTCACCATGGAGTCTCTGTGGCTCAGTGGTAGAGCATGAGAGTGCAGAATCTGAAAGTCTGAGGTTCTATTCCTTATGGGGACTCAGAATTTTTTCTTTGTCCCACACTCATAACAAGATGAAAAACATCTTTCTCTTATTCTAATGGTGCTTTCTCTAATAGGATACTTGCATCACTTTCAATAAAAGTGTGTTTTGATTCTAAATTGGAGCAAAGGTTGATCTTGCAAATGTGATGGGAAATAAAGTGTATGGAAGTTCAAAGTGGAAATGGACTCGTATAGTAAATACTATTATTTTTGAGTAGAGTGATAAGCTCAGATTGAAGAAACTAGACTATAAAATCTATTATTATGTTTTAGTTTACATTTTGTGTTCAAATCTCTTACTTGGTTGGTTTTTCCACAATAGACAATGTCACTCCTGAGTAAGTTGTATTGATAGATGTATTATACATTCAATTTTATCTTTTTCCTCGCAGCAAATGAACATACAGATTTAGCTTTGATCAATCAAAGAATCAGGGATAACATACAAGCACTCAACAACTTTAATACAACACGTGAACCTGGCAGGTAATAGACAGAGATTTCATCAATTCTTGGAATAAGTTAAAGAAGGCTGTTCATCAGGACATCATGTTTAACATTTCTCGGCCTTTGTTTCCAAATACTGGTGCAACTAGAAAATAGCTTTAAATGCAGCGTGACCAAGTTAACTGACCCTTGGAAAAATGGCAGTAGAATGGTTTTCTTGCTTAAATGGAAGATGGGTGCCCCGGGTAACCAGGGTCTTTCACTTTAGACAGCTAGCCCCTAGATAGGACATTGCCCTTGTGGTTGACAAATTTCTTGGTTGAACACTCAACTTATATCAGCTCCAATTAAATCCAAGGAAGGGAAAACAACATGTGGGGGTTGGGAAGGGGAATGTGGGAAAACTTCTAATAGCACTCTATACTACTGGTGACTTTATTAAACTTTTTGAGAACTCAAAGGTGCCAGCTGTAAGGGAGGTCTGATTGATGTTTCATGTTAGCATACACTTGTGATGATGATCCCCATACCCAGAAGTAGTCTACTTAAAGCTTGTTGAGGTTAACTTTGTTTAATTGTCCTTTGAGTTGTCTTTGAAAAATGGCAAGTTGACATTCATGTTAGTTTTTATTTTTTTTCAATGAAATGTTTTTGTATGATCCAAGTCGATACAACTTGATATACTATTAGACCAATTTTTAAACATATCATTCTGAATATAGGTAAGGAACTGTTTTTTAACCAGAAAAGCTGTTGCAGATTTTTAACTTTTTTTTACTCTCAGTTTTCTAGTAATTATCCTTCAGTTATAGAAATGTTTACATTGCTCACCTACAGGTCACGACAGGAATATGTGGAACTACTTCTTAGTGACCTTTGTAAATACTACAGTTATGGAAAATTTCTGATGGAGAAATTTATGGACCTTTTCCCCATAAATGAGGTAACAGAGCTATAACTTCCTTGATTGAATCTAACTTTACCAGGTGGCGTATTAAATACATTAATGATTTACAACCTGCAGTAAAATAAACATGTACAGGGAGATTAGCAATAACAGTACTGTGGCCTCTAATTCAATATTATTGTGTTCTCACCTTCATCGCTCTACTTTGTGGTGTTTGACAGTTTTGTTAATTTGTGACAAGTTAGCTGGTGTAAAGTATAGTCTGTGTGGTGGTAGCTAGGAGCAAACCCTGAACATATTGATGACAGAGATCAGATACCTACTCATTATATTTTGATAAGCTATGACAGAGGAACAACCCACCCACCAGCCTGTTATTGAGCATGACCCTTATACAGTCAGGCAAACATTTGAAATGTTGAAATCACATGTTTAAAATATTTCAAAAAGTTTAGGACTAACCTCATGCTAAAAGCTCTTGGTTTTAATATTTGTTGATGCCTTCTTAGTTGGTAGAATTCCTTGAGGCAAATGAAGTTCAGAGGCCCATCACTATTAGAACAAATACATTGAAGTCGAGAAGAAGAGATCTTGCACAGGTTGGTTAATTTAGTCAACAGGTTTAGTGGTAGATTTTTGCAGTTGACTGAAAGACAACTATATTCTTTATTTGAGTGTCACTGGAGGATCAGAGTTAGTATTGTTTATAGAAAAGGAACCAAATATATTACTGATATAATATGTCAAGTGGTCATGCAACTTTATTACATCCATTTTGAAATTACTGGTGATCCTTGCAATTTGATTGGTTCTCAGCAGTGCAATTTTTTTCTTGAATCACACAATTTTTTCTCTAAATTGGATCTTCTTTTTTCAAGCCAATGAGAAAGCAATGCTGAAACAAAACAATCAATACAACTTTCAAGATTTGTTAACTAAATGTTACTAAATCAAATTGAAGAGATAAGAATTAAAAAATCTGAAGTCATTGAGTGGCAAAATTTTGCTTCTTTTGTCACCAACATTTTTCTTGTTTTATGAAAAAATCGATGAACTTGCTTTCTGTATCTGCCTTTTTTAAAACCTTTCAACCCCTAAGAGTGCAAAGCATTTTATTTTCCCTTAAAATATTACCCCTGAACAAAGAAAATGATCATCGACTAAAGAAGCTCTTGATTGTTGAAAAAATTACCCTTGTCACTACCTTAGGAAACCTATGGATATCAGTATGGAGAATATGGATATTGACATTAGGGAGTAAAGGGTTTAAAAACCAGATCAGTACTGTATCAATTAAATTGTGCTTTTTCAAATGGATGTTCAGTAATGAAGTGGTAATGGAACTTTGTGGTTTGCAATTTTGGTCTGCATCATACTGAGTCTTGTGATTTCAAATTAGGTCACTAGCAATTCAGTTTTGAAATCAAGCATTTAATTTTAGACCAAAGTGTACTCCACTCAGTTGAATTAGCATTTTTAACCATTACAATTATTTGTACAGTGCTCTTTCTGAAAAACATATCAGAGGTAGTACTAGAATTGATATAAAATACTTATCACTTTTCATTTGTTTAACCCTCTAGGCCCTTATAAACCGTGGGGTAAATTTAGACCCAATTGGCAAATGGTCTAAGGTTGGACTTGTTGTCTATGACTCTTCTGTACCAATTGGTAAGGAATATAATAGAGACACATAATTTTGATATAATTTTGATGATCAAAATTAATCCAAATTTTAATTATCAATTTAAGAAATTTTATTCTTCAATTTTTCTTGAGAGAAAGCTCTAAGTGAGCTATTCGCAAAACTTCTAGTATCACAGGGACTGTAATTATTAATCAGATCTTTCAAACCTGCTTTAACATAAGCAGGAAAATGGTGCATATTTGAATAACTTATTCAGAAAGTCAGATGCGTATCATTTTGAAACTTTCTTTCACATGTTATTGCAGAATGTCAATCTGAACACATAAATTTAAACTTTAGACAATTTTGTATTTCCTTGATTGTTTGGTAATCCCAAATTGGTCAACACTTGAAAGTGGCAAAATATTTCACAACTCAGTCTCACAAATCCAATATGCTGGTCAAGGAAAAATTCATTAAAATAATCAATCTTCAACATCACTTTACTATTACCATTTGTTTTCTGTAATTTTCCAGCAATCAATAGAGAAAGAAGTATTGTTTGAACTGTGTTGTATTTAAATCTCCAATTTCAAATTTTTTATTTTTTCAATGGTCAAAATCACAGCATACAATTTTTTTTTTTTTTATTATTTTTTACTAAATACATATCAGTATATAACCTTTTTGTTTATTAAAACATCTTTTACGTAGGAGCCACCCCAGAATATCTAGCAGGACACTACATGTTGCAAGGGGCATCATCAATGCTCCCAGTTATGGCCTTGGCTCCTCAGGAGAAAGAACGGGTATTAGACATGTGTGCAGCTCCTGGTGGCAAAACTACATACATAGGTAAAAGCTATGTTGCAGAGATAAAACTTAAGCTTATTACAGCATTTAATTATTGATTTACATACTGAAATGTCAATTCAATGCTGAAAGAAAAATGTCCTTCATGATTTCATGAATTTTTCTCTTTATTTCTCTCTTTCTTTTTTCCATTTTCCATTTTTGGTTCTTTCAGCATCACTCCTAAAGAACACTGGACTGGTGGTTGCAAATGATGCTAAAAAGGAAAGAACAAAAGCTTTAGTTGCTAATATTCATAGATTAGGTGAGTTTGTAACAATTAACTTTAATTTGGACACAGTGCTTTGTATTAATCATACAACACATGTAGGACCAATGTGCTGATCAATCCAAAGCTTCAACATCCCCCCATCCCCTGGGGCATTTTCCCTCCAGGTCAAAATTTGTGTTCAAGTGCTCCACCCAACTTTTTGTGAAAGGCCCTGCACCCTGCCATGATCTTGGGCCAATATTTCTTAATACGGCCCTTGTACTTGGTTAGTGAGAAGTTGATACTTAAGATTTCATTTCATCCACACAGAAAGGAACAGGAATCTGGTTACAAGTATTTTTGGAGAGGAATTTTTAACTAGCACCTTTGTGATCCTCCCTTAGAATGATGCCTTATCTTGTTACTACTTCATAGTTTGAACTTACTGTACAGTTATTTTAATTCATTTCTTTGTGAGACTTTTCAATGTTGACCATTAATTTGTTTCCTTTTCTAGGAATAAGTAACACCTTGGTTTGTCATTATGATGGTCGAGCATTTCCAAAGGTATGAAGTATATGATTATGTAAAACTCTCAAGCCTCAATATTTTGCTAAGTCCTTTGCTTCACTTTTTAAGGTTGTAACTGACTCCACATGTCAAATCCTTTTGAGAATGGGGTCAAATCCTTGATTGGTGATAAAATAAAGGTGATAAAGTAAAGGTTTTGGCCTCAACTACAGTCATGGTCAGGCTTGTAGTTTTGATTATTGTTTAAACTACTGAGTTGATTCAGAACCTATAAAATTGAATAACCAGTATTTAGATACCTGCTTATATGTGCTGGTGTTGTCTTTTTCTTTTTAAGCTCATTGTGGGGTTAGTTGGACATATCATTTATTTCTACAACTGAGTGAGGTGTGTCTCTTCCTCTGTTGTAGCTGTACTCCCATAATTTTGGCATTCCTGATTAAACATTCTTCACTTTCAGGTAATGGCAGGTTTTGACCGTGTTCTTCTTGATGCCCCATGCAGTGGAACAGGAGTCATATCAAAGGATCAGTCTGTTAAAATCAATAAGGTTTGTCTTTCTCTATTAATAATTATTATTGATTGTATTTTATGTGTTAAGTTCACATAAACTGATTATTGGTACTTAAACAGATTTTTGTACATAACTATTTCTTTCCATTTAATCATGTTGCATAAAATGAGATAACTTTGGTTCTGTGTATGTGCCATTTTTTTCACATATATTGTAAGGAATAATGATAATAATAATAACAGTGATAACAATATCAATAATGAACAATTGTTTAAGAAATTGGAAGTAGACATGCATTACTTTCTCTTATACTCAAGGTAAATAATTTATTGATTCTTATTATTCTGTCAATGTACCAAAAAAATGGATCAGAATCTAAGTACTGAATAGCATACTTTTTTGCAAATCACTTGAGAGCTAGTGAATCAGCATGTGCAAAAAGTGCTATACACCTTTGTGGTGTATACTGTTAACAAATATTTTAACGAGATTGGTTAACCCATTGGGTCTCAAAACACTGCTTTTATCAAGTTCCTGTAGATTAAACTAGTTGTCAACTAAGAGATGAAGAATGGGATAAGATAAAAACGCTTAAAAGAATTCTTCATTTGTTTCAAAAAGTTCATTAATACTTTCTTGAATTAAAGTTCAAGTTCAGTTCAGAGTTCATTGAAATTGTGGCTCCTTGATGTTATCACCTTAAAAAATATATATATTAAACCCTTAGCCTGTTTTTTTTCATAAGTTTTTTCTGTGTTTTGTTATTTAGACTGAGAAAGATATTCATCGGTGTTCTCATATTCAGAAAGAACTCATTCTGTCTGCTATTGATGCTACAGATGCTAAGTCATCAAGTGGTGGATATATTGTTTACTCCACCTGTTCTGTTTTGGTAAGTGTTCATTGCACTGCTTAATAACTCAGCCATTTCAAACAGAAGTTTATTTGGCAGTCATGAGTTGTGCTTTTGTATCAGTTAGACACTTAGAAATGTCTAAAGAGAGCTTTTTGCTAAGACCTTAATAGTAGAGCTTGCAGAGCATAGCTCCATAATTATACAAAATAGTAGTAACCCATCAAGCCAAAAAAATTTGGATGTACAACCCTATGACCGTACAACCATTCAAGGTGCTACTTTTAACATGTGTGATCAAATGTACCACACCAACGCCATGGCTTTATCCAGTAGTCCAGTGGTCAGTGCACTGGCCGGGGCAAGGCATTGTGCCCTTGAGACATGCAGGGAAAAAAAAAATGCAAGCTCTGCTTTTAGGCTTGGCTAAATCTACATATTATAGTTGACTGTCAACTAGAAGCCGTCTATAATATTCATTACTCCTACACTATTCAAATTCTACATCAAGAAAATTATTATGAACCTTTGATTGACTAAGTTATCAGTTGAAATCTCTAGGTTAGTAGAGGTTGTATTTTTTTGTTTCGGCTTTATGGATCAGTGTATTGTCTTTGCCCTTCATAATAACTCAGCCATTTTTAACAGAAGTATTCTGGGCAGTTGTTAGTTGTGCCTTTGTTTCAATTAGACAGTTAATAATGTCTAATGAGAGTTCTGTTCTGAGATCATAAAATAATTGACTGTCAACTAAAAGTTAATAAATATGGATGATTGTTCACCACCAACTTGAAGGTGGTCACCTGTCAAGGTGAAAGGGCTAATGCTTGAAAATTCCATAATGCTCAATATTCACTCTCCTTCATCGTTCAAATTCTATATCCAGGCATTTACTGAGAACCTTTGATTGACTTAGTTACAAAATGAATGTTGAAATCACTAGGTTAGTAAAGGGTATATTAGTTTGCAATAGCTGGGGGGATCAGTATGTTTCATAGTCTCAAATAGGCTAAAAATGTTGCTCCATAGGTCTTTAACCAATTACAGTTGTACCAATATTATATATGTTATGATATTTCAACAATAATGATCATTTTCAACAGGTAGAAGAAAATGAGGCTGTGATTGATTATGCTCTCAGCAAAAGACACGTAAAACTGGTATCCACTGGGTTGGACTTTGGCCAAGAAGGATTTTCAAAGTAAAATCAACTTGAAATTCTTTTGTCTTAAGTTATTGAAATTAATACTGTACCAGCAGGTATGGAGCTGTTTGATGTGACAATCTTGTTTTCTAGAACTAAGACTAAGATTTAAACAGAGAGATCATGGTTTGGGCTTGTCATTTGTCTCCCACAAAGTGGGTAGACCAGAAAGAAACCCTGGGATAAATTTAGGGTGTAGACTCAGCACTTATCACACAGCTAATCACAGAACTGGTAACTTTGAAATGAAGTGACAAAACTGTGGCAATGGACTTTGCATGGTTCAAGTGAGTTCAAAGTAGAGTAGATCATATATGGCTTCACTCCATTTCATTTGACAAAAATTAATGGAATTTGGCAGTAACATTGTTTTCCAAAGTAATTAAATTTGCACAAATAAGGACCCCCTATTTTGTCAGCCAACTGTCAATCAATAGTCGGCCAACAGACAGCCGACAGATGGCAGACAGTTGGCCAACAGCTGACCGACAGTATCTTTTGGGAACTGTCCTTCACTTTTACTGGCGGATAAATGAAATCGAACCAATTTGGGCAAGTTTCACTAGCTAATGTAAAAAAGTGAGCAAAAGCTGTAGTAGCTATTGAGAGTACAGTGCAAGGTATCTTTTTAAAATGACTTTTCCCCTATTCATGTAGGTTAAAAAGAAGCAATAGATAGGTAAATGTTTATGATCATTTCAGTTTATGACCCACCAAAAGGTTACCAACAAGTTACCGACAGGTTGCCAACAGGTCACCAACTGTCAGCCAACTGTTGGCAAAAACTTTTGTCTGAAACATAACAAAAGCTGTTGGCGGACTGTTGGCCAACTGTCAGCCGATTACTGGCCAACTGTCGGCCAATTACTGGCCAACTGTCGACTGATTACTGGCCAACTGTTGGCCGACAGACAGCCTACAGTCAGCTGATAGCTGGCCAACAATATTTTTCAAAACTGTCCTTCACTTTTACCCAAAATTGTATTACACTCAGAAAACAATTTCTAAATCATAGAACCCCTTCACTGACCAGGGTTTTTAGTAACTGTTACGAAAAAAAAACAGAAAAAGAAAAAGAAAGAAAAAAACAGAAAAAGAAACAGCAAGTCAGTAGACCACAGTCACATCCTCTTGAGTTCCAGATTATTATTTTAGCAGTTCTTGTTAGCTTGCAGCTGGTGTCCCTGGCCACACAACTTTTGTTTCATCTTTACCTTAACCACAAATTTTCACTCAGTGACATTATACCAACCCAAGTATAACAAGTAGAAGTAGTTTGACTGATGCTTGGTTATTACAATTTCTCTCCTAGGTTCAGGGGAAAACATTTCCATCCTTCCTTAAAATTGAGCAAGAGATTTTTCCCTCACACTCACAACATGGATGGATTTTATGTTGCCAAGTTGAAAAAATATTCCAACAAAATTTCTCCTCAAGGTAAAAAGTGACTTTCAATTGCCTCTGTGAAATGTTATCATGAGAATTGTAGTAATTAAGTACACCTTAATAAGGTCCCTTAAATAAAATTAAGCAATCAAATTTTCAGATTTGAATAAAGACTTCTGTCAAATTCAGTAGTGCCCACCAGCAAGCAACAATCAAACACATTTAGATGGAATTCATTGCTGGTTCCATGTAATTGGTTTGATTACCTGTAGTTTTGTTGTAGTGACCCCAGGACACAAGATTTGCTTTATCCTAAATTTAATCATTGTTAGGAAGTAGCTGTCATCAAGGGGGGATTAGTTTTTTTATGGCTTTGCAGTTTCTTTGATTATCAACCATCTTTTCAACTAGTCTAATCTTTTAACACACCAATCACAATCAACTTATGCCATGAGTCTATTAGCCAATGACATCACAGCTTAATTGACCAATTCTTTCTTTCTTTTTTTTTTTTTTTAATATATGAACTGGACTAAACACATTCAATTGACAACAACTATTCACTTGACTCTAATGATGACTTCCACCCAGGTTGTGGAAATGTCAGTCACGACTACTGACAACAGTGCTTCTCAGGACTACACTTACCTATACAATCAAACTACACTATCACATGTTTCCCCAGATTCAAATCATTTACTGTAATACCAAAGTCAATTTCCAACCCAACTTATGAATTGGCTACTCCATGTCACAACCTGTCCATGTTACTGTTGATGGGAACTTCCCCAGAAGTCAATAATAATTGTAATCTATGTCTTTGTCAGGAGAAATTTCCAGCAAAGTAGGGAACAAGAAAGATTAACCAAAAAAGGAATCGCCTCCCCAAGAAAATCAAGAAATTGATCTGGGAACTATACAAACTGCCACAGGAAACTCAGATGATAACTAGAAGTTTCAGAATCAAGAATGCTGCCCAGAACACTTGATACACAAATGTCACAACCAATAAAAAACACTGATTACATGTGGCTTTCAACTTAAATAGGGAGGCACCATAAAGGGAAAAAACAGTCTTCAATAGACTTGCTTCCTCATCCTCATAGCACCTTGTGCAGTGTTCACAGCCAGGACAAATACCTGCTTGTGGTCAAGTTGCAGTTTTTTCAGACCCTTGTTTGATACAGCATTCTTACAATGACTTGCAAACTTAACAGTAACATATAGGCCAACAATCTATTATCTTTTTCAAATTTTATTTATAGTTATTATAAAAAAATATACTTAGTACAATACAAGTTAGTAGCATACAACCTACACTGAATGTCACATGCTGCTCTACAAAATACATTAATCGTCTCTACAATAAGCATCACTTCCTCCATTAATAGGTTTAGGCAATTTGGCTAGAAACTTCTAGTTCATTCTTTAGGTAACTTAGAGCATATAAAGGATATGTGAAGCCTTTAAAGCATGTGGTTGATGTCAATTGCAGACAAGAACTAATTGAAACCTGTGCTTATTATTCAAGTGTAACTTGTTGATGAAAGCAGGTATTTATTATGATATTGCTTGCAAATCCCTGACACCATATACAAGGTTATAAGTCCACCTTTAGTTAGATTTTAAGATTCATTAAATAAAACGTTATCTGAATACCTCTCAAAGGCATGTTCTAATCATGGAAAAAATTCCACACACAACTATCTCCATTTCACTACAAAATACCTTGTTTTTATCAGTTGTCTTAAGTATCAGAAAATATGAGATATTAAGCATGTATAATAGTGTTTTTGTCTTGTCTTTCAGAAGCTCAATACTACAAACTGAAGTAAACATATTTTCCTCTCCAGTCAAATCAAACAAAGCATGACTTACAAACCTTCTAAAAATAACCAGATAAAATTTTACTAGTCCTAGCGCACAATAGTTACAAAAAAAATTGTAAACACTAACAGAGAAGCTTGCAGGCAAATCAAGTAAAGGATACAGAAGAACTTTAATTTGACTTTCAATAGATCATAAGTTGAAATAAATAACTATTTACAAGGGAGTTTCACAGTCAACAATACCGTTTGAAAAAAGCTGATCTAAATTATTTTTAATCATTAACGAAATGATCATCAAAACAAAAGCCAACAAGTGAAATGGTTAAAAACCTATTAAATTCAACATAGTTCTTGTAGTTGGAGTAGTGTTCACAGTCTTTTATGATACAGTGAGTATTTAATTTGCGTTCACGTTTATATTAGTTTGAAATGTACTGTACAGATTATTCATTTGCTACCTCATACAAAGGTAACATTCATGCCAAGGTACAGTAATTGTCTGTTCATTAAATAGGCTAAATACAGTTTGGTGCTTTGTCAAGTTAAAACAAGCCAACAAACAGCAAATGAGTAACTTTTAATGACTCCAACAGGTTCATTGTGGCTCTTTTGTTTACACATCAATGTGATGTTGAATCAACAGCAATCAACATTTAATTTAAAATGGCATATCTGAGTTTATCCCTGAGCACTAATAACTTCGATGATTATTTTTTTTCCCTTGTGTCTCTTTGGGTAGGATTAAGCAAATCTTGTGTTCTAATTGATCACCCAAACAGGCAAGTCCTTTCTACTCAGGATTGTCTACTTTTATCCTACAAATAAAGTGCTTGTAGGTGTTTATACATACTTCTCAGCAACTCTTTTTTGTAAAAAGAAAGAAAAATTAAGGCAGTGTTGGCAAAAACAGAGTCACAAACACACATTTCTGTTAAGTCATAACCATGCTTTTAAAATATTGTGGATGGCTATGATTCAGTGAAGCATGTACATGTACCAAAGCCACATTAAACAGCAGTAAAAAGAATTACTGCCATCAACCTGCCAGTTGTATGGCACCTGCTTTCTTAAAGTTCTCACTTAAAACTGCTTGTTGGACATTTTGTAACCTGGATTCTTGTTCCTCATGTTCAAGGTCTTCCTCATCTTCACCAGTACAAGTCAGAATACACAATCTATACACCAGCAGACTCAAAGCAATGGCATTCTTACATGTAAAGAAAATATGCATCTCACTGTATACTTGGTAATTGATTATCAATAGTAGTCGCAGGATCAAAAATGGTCCATCTTGCATGAAGATGCCAGTCAGGATGCCAAATATGTCACCATGAAGCAGCATTTCTCGCCGAGAGATCTCTTTTACCTCTCCCCTGGCAGTTGTAATTGGGTAAATTTTCTTTTCCTTCTTTTCACCTTTGTATCCCTTTCCACGCAAGACATTCATTTCTGTTTGGCGACGTTTCATCTGTAATCTCTGAATGTATCTCTCCTTGAGATCTTCTTGTTTTTCATACCTATGGAGACTTATTTTCCTGTTTATGACATCATCAGGTGAAACCTGGAAACAATTTTTTTGACATGGTTGTGATAAGTGTTCCAAATAATAGTACACACATAAACATACTAGATAATTTGGTTTTACCAACTGAGCTGATAAAGTAAATTTGCCACCTTTAAGAACTGATGTTTTGAGCATTAGCTCTTAAAGGGCATGAAGAAGTGCAAACGCTCAAAACAGCAGCTTTAGAAACACTTTACAATGGCAAAATTACATTATCAACTCAGTGGATAAAAAGAACATTTTCTTGCCACACCCCCTACCAATGCAGAATCAAAGTATCTTTTAAAAACTTACTCCCTTCATTTAGATACACATACTACCTGCAAAGTTTAATTCAAATTCCAAAGTTCAAAGGATTTTAATCAAAACTGATAGAATACAAACTATAATAACAATAAACCATATTCTTAGCTTGTATTCCGAATGTTGTTCCTTTTAGCAATTGATGGAATAAATTATGTTTGAAATGACAAGCAACTAAAGACAAATACTCTATGAACCCTAATCTGATTGTGAGTTATTTATTTTCTGTTCCTAATTTTGCTTCTCCCTTCACTGTGATGATGTGATGTTGAATGAATAAATTTTCAGTAACAGGATGCTGCACTCTTGTAATATCTAACCTTAAAAAGAGGAGTGCCGTGACATGTTTTGTTGGTCATGCTGGAAGGTCAAAATTACATGTTTTTACCAAAGTCCAAGCAAAGTTTGTCCCAGACTGTTATTTTCAAAGAAAGAGATTTGCAAAATAAGGTATACCGGTACACTTGAAATCTTAACTTTTAAGGAAACTTTGACTGAGCAATCAGGTCAATCTAGTTTTCCACAGCAAAACAATCTGCCTTTGAATAAACAATAACCTTTTTGTACCTCAGTTCTAGAAATTTATTTTCCAACTACATGTCAATGACCAAAGAGTTTTAGCTACCAAGTCCTGGGCTATGATCCCCTAAATGTTATGCATGCTTGAAAGTGTGTCAAATTAAATATTATATGGAAAGTTTATTTACTGGCAGCCAAGAGGTAAGAACAAACACATTGTATTCCTGAGATAACTGATGGAAATTATTTCAGGACTGAATTAACTATGTTATTACATTTTCACTTCAAACCCTCCCTGATGTTGAGTGCACAGTCAACCCACCTTGTTGTTTGTGATCCTTATCTGGTTGTTCTTTCCAGTTGTGGCTGTGGTGACAAGACAAAACTGTAACAAGCTCCATGTATACACACCTAGCACTGCAAATGTCACTGACTCCTCTGCTTGAACAACATCTTCTTGAAGGACTTCAAATAATTCAAGAATGTCTGCTGCAGTGCCAACATAACCCAATAAAAGAGCTGACAGCTGGTCACGGGTAATCTCACCTCTTGGTAGAAGCCATCTTCCAATGATTATTCCAATGATCAGACCCAATTCACATATCTGTTTGGCTAGTGTTGATGTACCCACATTTCCAAGACACTGCAAATTAAAAAATTACCATATTTATAAAATAAACACTTGAAAGAAAGGGACATGTTATTTTTCACAAATTTTCTTCACACAACATTCAGAGAATGGGTACATTTAATGACATTAACTGTATTTTCTCTCAATTAAAGCAGCTATGAAGGCAGAGAATGGAGGTTTTCAGCGAGAAAAGCAAGCTAGCATGACCAGCAGGCAAAGAGAACAGAGACAAAAAAGCTAAATTTGTGTTTGAGTACAAGCACAGCAAAAGCCATTCATTGTAAGGATCTGGGAAGGAATGCCTGCGAGAGAATACAGCTCTAAAACTGTTTTCTTCATGATTCTCACTTAGTAGTAAAATGTATGGCTGAAAGAAAACAAATGCACATCCAATTTGAATTGCAATTACATTATGCAGTTGTCGCAGAATGAGTAAAATTTCACTTTTTTAGACCCCTTCTTCCCCCCCCCCCTCCCCGTTTCTCCCATCAGACCTGTTGGTATTTTTATTGTTGATAGTCAACACTCATCTGAAACCAAAATTCTCACAACAACAGGATTGCCCATTACAACTCAACTTGAAGTATTTAAAATTTACATATACTGAAATATCACTTAACGTTTTAGAAGTGTTTTCTAACTCAAATTTAAGAAACACCTCCAACTTCCCTCCTGCCCTCTATTCAAACATTCCTGGAAAAGCCCTTGCAGAGCATGCTTTTTTGGAAACAATAATTTCATTTTCTTTTCCTTGCTCAACATTCAACAGAATATTCAAGCACATTATTCAGCCAATGTTTCTTGAAGGAACAACTGGACCGCGTGGAAAAAAAACTTACCCCAGGAATATTCTCTTGAGATTGTACAGTTCCATTTACCCTTGGTGGCTGTGTTGGATCTACACGCTGTTTTAGAAGATCTATTTCTAAAATCCATATAACCGGAATCATTGTAGACATGTAGAAGAAACAGCTTGGCCAAAAACTGGAAGAAAGAAAATATGTTCTTGAAAAATTGCATTAGATCATAATTTGCAATTTGCATGCAGTATGTTTAACTCTGTACCAGTGCATTACTGCTCAAATCAGCTTAAGACTGATCAATTGTTAAAACAGTCATTTCTAAGGTTCAGAACGTGGACATGGTCTTAACATTTTACAGAAAATGTTGATGTTCATCTTGGTTTTTTAGCAATAAATGATCGGTCAATCATTCGTCTCATTATGTAAGAGTCAGGCTAACCAATCTTGTATTGATCACAATGTTTCTGCTGCTATTACTGCTAGTCTTTGTCAGCCACAAAATCAAAAGTTTATGTATTGCTTAGTTTGTTGTTATTGGTTTGTTTGATAAAGCACAGTCATGTTTTTTACATGTATGTAACCAACATGGCTAAATTTTGTATGTATACTTCATGAAATGGAAAGAGAGCTCATTCTTATTTCTGTCATAGTAGGTCTCTGGGAAATTTCTCTTTGCCCTTTACTAGTACTACATTTTTCACTCCCAATGGAAAATGAAATGAGTGTGATCTACGATATACATAACATAATGAATGTGCTGTTCACTTCTTTACAAGTGTTTGGGTTTATATTTCTTCTTTATTATTTTTTTTCTTACGCTATCATATTTTTTCATTTAACCCTTTGATAATCATTAACTGATGCAGGAAAATGACATCAAGAACGATTCTTACAACACCATAAGCCTGTTTTTGAGTTGCATCAGTTATGTGGTCTAATTGCAAACAAGTAAGTAGGTAAGAGGTCATTGGCTGTCAAAGGTAAGATTTACGAAGAATTAAAAAAAAAAGAGAAAACCTCGGCTCTGTGCTACGACGTTGCGAACGAGTATCAGCGTATCACGAGTCCAATCCAGTTAAGCTGACTTACGTCTTCATGATCGTGGAAAGCTTAAAAGCAGTGTTAAAGTACATACATGTATGTTAAGTTGTCAGATACTATTAATATATGTTTCCATTTAGTTTGAATTTTTGAAACACAGCCTTGTGAGATAAATAAAATCCACCAGGAGGCGTTACTTTCAATACTTACTACTTGTATTCTTGTCCTTTGCGAGCAAGTAACGTGTAAACCATTTCGAAGAACAACAGAACAATGCCCAAAATGGTTGCCCAGAACTCAATCTTATTAAAACAGTGTGCTAGAAGCCACACAGACAGAAATCCATGTATAAAGAACAAAACACGGGTTATCACAGCGTAGAAAATCGGTCGAAAGTCCCATAATTTCACAAGCAGCTCTTTTGCCATTTTGGAAATCCTTTCTCCTTGCAATCTAATGATGTAGGTTTCCCAGCGACGGCTATTCTTTGTTATTTTCCTAGTTACGTCGATTTAGTCAAGCATGACTGCATGACTTCCTAGGTTCTTGAGCCTGTGATTTATTGGTCCGCTGTGACCCGCAAACTATCCATGCCTTAAATGTCATCCGGGAGAGAGTGGAGAAAATTTAAGAGAATACCCTGGGCGACTAGATGACTCTGGCGGGATATTTGTTTTGTGGTATATGGCAATGCAAAGTTTGAGATCAATTCGGACGGGGTGTCTGACATGCTACGAGTGCGTTGTAATATTTGCAGGGAATCCATTCATGATGGCGCAGCATGTTGCCCATGTACGTCTCATTTTCAACAGTCAGGATGATCTTTGTAAATTATTTACTGATCTGATATACACAATGTCATGTTGTAAAATGTCTGTCTTAAATCTAACAGTAATCTGCTTTTGCTTTTTTCCTTGATATACTCAATGGATCTCCTATACAGGTGGCCATGTTTATCATCTAATATGGTAAGCTTTGCATATTCAAGAAAATTCTTATGGAAAAAGATTGTAGAGAACGAATCCGATCTGCTTCTTTTTTTTGCCTAGATCGACAGTAGCGAAGGAGTAGTAATAAATGTATTTTCTTAAAATTCATAGCATAAATCAGTGGCTAAATCAAAGTCGTTCATGCCCAACATGTCGTACCACTGCCTCGAAAGCAGTTGTGCTGTTCTTTGACGGAGCTGACTTGGACAGTTCACAAGTTACAAATGACGTGGACATTCTAAAGGTACAATTTAAAAGGCAAAAATACACCTTGGCTAAGTCTAGATGCCACTACGGCCGAGATAACAATGGTTGCAACAGTGTATTTCCTGCCTTACAAAGGTGATTGTCATAGCACAAACATCTAAGGCTCTCTTTAAGCGTATGGAACTGGATATTTAAGTTGTGTAGGATAAGATCACAAAAGGACATAAATGTTTTTATTATATTTTCTTCTGATTTTAAGGGATCATGTTTCCCTTACCAGCAGTAAAATGTTAGCATCTTAGACCTGAAGCAGTAAACATTGTGATCTGTAGAGATTTTTGTAGATTTGTATTTTACCTTCAAGTAAACGGAAGACCACTCAATGCATCACAGTAGGATTAAAGAATGTTTATTGAAAATAGCATGATTGTGACTGAATTAGCACTTTGTTGTAGCAGACAGTCACACTAAAATGGCTTCTGGGTTGGGAAGGGTCCATCTACTCCTGAAGCCAAAGTACTGCATAACAGTGGTGTGTCTTAACTCTTGACTTTGCCATGACCAGTAGAAATATTTAGTTTATCAATTCCTGAATCCAAAGTTCTGCATAACAGAGGTATATCTTAACTCTTGACTTTGCTGAGATCAATAGAAATATTTAGTGCTCAACAACTTGGGGTACATCGTGTGTTAATGATGCAGGAGTACATGTATTCTGTTGATGCTATGTTAGTGTTACATTTACCACCAGTAATGGTTCCAAAGGTGATTAATTTTTTAATTTAGCCATGACACTATTAATGTTAATGTTGAAAATTATTTTGCAGAATACTATAGAAGATCTTAAGTCTTTGTTGAACCAGAAAGGCAAGTCAAATCTGAATCTATTGTTGGAACCATTTTTTTTGTTTGGTATCATCTTGCATACACAAAGAGAAGTTAATGGAATTTTGTTGATATTCTTTAGAGTAATTTGAGAAGTACAGAAAATTTAAAAGAAGGGAAGCTTATGTCACATAAAAATTTAAAAGAAATACACTTGTTTCAAATTATTTTCTGAATATGAATCACTCAAATTAAAGTAAGGTAAAGGAAAGCTGTCTTTCCATCTTGTGTATATCAGCAGTGAGTTGCTGGTAATGCCCAATGGAGATGCCAACCACCACCCACCTAAAACCTTTTAGTTGTAATATCTAAGGGGTTCTCTTCTTAAATTTTGGCAGTGTCTATTGCCTTTGCCAGAAGGGAGGATGTTACAAATGTAAAAATTTGGGGATTCAATAAGGTCGATATGTGGTTGTTTTTAAAGATGATCGAGGGTTATATGAGATGGTAACATGGCTGAACTTATAGGACCTGCCCAAAATGTAGCAGTGTTTATACACATGAATCTCAGTTTCAAAGGCTTATGAATAAAGAATAAAACAAGAGGAAAATTTTAAAGGTCTATTTGTAGTTCATGCACAAAATAACTGGTTTTTGTTATATGGCTTTTGTTTAATTATATGCTTTTTTAAAGGAAGATGTAATGCTTGACATTTCTCTTAAGTTTGTCCTTAAATTTTAGTAGTAAAACTAAATAAATGTATACAATTGCTGTTTCAGTTTCCTTTGAGTTGGGAAAAAAGTTACATCTTTTGTTACTGATTAACAAAACAATCAATTAAAAAGCTGCTTGGAAGCTTGCCATTAAGCTTAAACTTAAGTAAAAACTCTAGTTTCATGCCCTTCAGTACTCACACTGTAAGTGGAAGCCACATTCCCAATATGAGTTAGATTTTTAATGCATTTTTTAAATATTTCAAGAAAGAACTCAGAGAAAGACTTATCTCGTTTGCCATTTTAGTTTCTGAATGATAGGTTCATATGATGGAAGGAGCATTTCCCATGAAAGCCAATGCAAGATTTGTTGACTTGATCTAAACAGGCCTAAATTAAACTAAACTTAGAGGGTTCTTGTGTTTGAGAGTCAGACATGTTCTCTGATGTTCTCAGCTGGGATTACTGGATGTTAATTTAAGGATGGACTGTTTTTTTATTGTTTATAGAAGTTGATCTCAGGAGTTTAAAACATGAACACAAGGTAAACCATCAAGAATAGAGATCTTTTTGGAAACTTTTCCATATTACCTTTTGTAATTTTTTTATTTTGAGTACATGCAAATAATGATAATGAAGATAAGAGGGATCTTTGTAGTAATGAACACTACTAATTAAAAGTAGTGGCGAAAATATGGCCTAAAAAAATTTAGGCTGACACAGGAGTTGAACCCACAACCTCTATGTTTACTTAGTGTTGAGACAAAGGAAGTGATAACAAGGTTAATTTCTACAGTAAACAATCAGCCTATGAGATATTCATTTTGTGTATGGTTATTTTACAGAGAGAACTTGCTCAGGAAATATCTGCTTTGGAAAAGCAAAAGGGTTAGTAATATATTGTATGAAAAGTCTGTGAAGCTGTGGCAAATATGTAAGTTGACTACTTTATCTTTTTGTTCAGATGTCCAAAATATTTCACATCTGAGGCATAAATTGATGGTAAAACATTGCTGTTTCCTTTCTTATGCCACTCATGCAAAAAGTGCTTCAGGTGGCCTGGTGAACACAGTGTTGAAGTTGGAAGCATTTCAGAAACCTCTTCCAGTGTAATGGCTTTCTTGATTTACTTTTCAATTGATTTACAATTTTTTCTCAGTCCTATTATGTGAAACTGCAAATTCAAATTTAGTATTTTGGATGCTGTTGTTAATTCTTTTCTGGTTGGTAAAGTTTATCAATCAACAAAAGGAAAATCAGCCTTACAAGTACTCTCTTTTTGAGATTTTCATATATAAATAGAAGGAATTCAAAGTAAGGCAAATAAAAAATGGCTAATGCTTTCTTCCTTGGCTTGAGGTTGGTTGTACAGATGATTTTAAAACAGTACCCTTTGAGTTCTAATATTTTAGTGAAATTTGTTCCTTGCATTCATGGGTTCTGTACATGATTTTTTTTTCCTTTTTTTTTTTTTTGTCAAAGATTCTGCTTTGGAAGAACTGAGGAAATGGTATGAGAAGAAACTTCAAATGGAAAAATCGACTTCTACTGGACTCAAGGTATCAAGGTTAACCCTTAACTCTCAACATCTCTTTACTCTCAACTACTCCTGTTAGACAATTTTCTGTAAGGGGCTTTGGATGTATTGTTATTGTGAAGAAACAACACAAGATACACAGTTAAGGCTTAAGAGTAGAAAACATAGTTCTCATATTTCAATAGTTGTTCATTTTCATTAAACATCTAAAAATCCTCTTGTCAAATTTTTCATGATCATGAAACAGAAGCAACTAAGTTATATGAAGGAAAAAGAAAGGGAACTTGCTACTGCACAGAGTGAAGCCACTGAACTAAAAGCTGAGTTTTTAAAATTAAAACGGTAAGTAGAGCATACAGAATCGCTTGTTGATCACATCTTTTATTTGTATTTGTAACACCTTTTCTTGGCTTTGAATGGTCACAGAAATTTCAAAGTAGACATTTGCTAAATTTTTTACCTTTTGCAAGATTCTTATTGAGAAAATTGCTCAGAACTAAATGCACTCAATCAAAGTGGATTCCCAGAACAGGGTTATTCTTTCTTCTCCTGATTTTAGAGAAGTCCTTGCTACAATATTGAAGAATTGCAGGATTTCCAAAATTATCAGTTATTTGACAACTTTCTTACTGTAGCATGTCCCATACCCATTTCAAAAACATAGGTAAACATTCACCAAAACTGTCTGAACATGTCTTCTGGCTCTTAAGGCAAGCAGAAGAATTTGTTTAGTCATTGAGGGTACAGTTTTTCCAACTTGAAAATTCATCCAGTAACAATCAACAACAAGAACAGTAACAGCTACCACAATAATAATGTTCATGGTTATAGGTATGCAAATGATAGTAATAATCATGGTTAGGTAATAAAAGTGATTATTGTCATAACAATGATGATAATAATGAGGATGGCTATAAATAATGATGATAGTAATGATGATTATTATAATATTAATAACATTATAAGAAAATCAGTATTATTAACTATAATTGTCATCAATGTATTTTTTCTATTGTTTTATTTATTGGTTAATTAAAAAACTTCTTTCTTTAAATTCTTTCTCTAAATGTTCCTTGAGTGCTTTATATGCAACATGCAATAAATAACTCACCCAATAATATCTAAACCTCAGGCTGGAGGCTTGCATTTTCCAACATTCAATGCTATGACATGTGTTGCTTTTTATAGTATGAGGATATTAATAGATGAACATACAAGTGAAGCCGAAGACATGTTGCAGCAGTTAGATGCTAAATCATTCCCAGAAGTCATCCTTCAACTTATCACACTCAAAAGGTAATAATTATTATTTATTTATCTGGGGTGGTTATCTTGGCCTTTAGAAGTGAGTTAGATGGAAGGGGATAAAGTTTCACTTGGAATACTCTAAGCTTATCTAATATCCAAGGGGAAGTATGCCATCTAGGTTACCAGGTTACAGTGTGAATACTTCTTTTCCATGCTAGTATGCTGCTTGCTATATATTGGTCATAAATATTGTTGCAGTGCAGTGCAGTTGTAAATTACATGGTGTATCTGCATGTGTGGTGTGACCAACTTGTATCTTTGTTCTGTCAGTAGGAATACAGTCAAGCTTTTCTTGTTTCAGAGTTTTGGACTAATAGTGAATTCATTCAATCCTGATTTCTATATGTGATAATTTAATTTTCCCTTCAACTGTCCTCCAGTAGAAATCTTGAGCTCATAATGTGAGAGATGACATTAAATAACATGGCTATCAGTCTTACAGTTCTGTCTATCATAAACATTTATGCATGGTTCCAGGATATACCTCTATCACAAGGCAAGAATGCAATCATTAGAGTAGTTATGTAGTCATATTTGAGGTAGCCATGCTCTCACTTTACATACTTTGTTTCTTTTTTGGGGATTTGTGCATTGTAACAGGAAACTAGAGGAAAAAAAGTTGAAATGCAAGCAAGCCATAGATACAACAGATAAAGTTAGAAAAGAAAATGTTATGATAAAAAATGAGGTAATATATTAAACGATTTTTGAAATTGAGGCAATAGAAATTGTAGCCAGCAATGATAAAGAAACTTGAACTTTAATGAACATTTTCCTGCATATAGGACTGGAAAAATGTTCCCCCTCAAAATGAGATTTAGTTGTTTTTTCATTTACAGATTCCTGTTTGTCTCAGTTCTTGATATCTTGAATTCATTTTTTGCAAGTATTGATATATTTTTATTTCACTGCTGAATAATACTGAAGAGTTTGAAACGTTTTCATGTAAAAGTCAAGTGGTACAGAGGCTTCTAAGTGGAACTGTCTATTGGATCTGTAAGATACCAAACAGTTTGATTGCTGTATTTCTTTCACACAATGTTCTTTACATGGGAAACTTAAAAGCCGCAATTACGAGGTGGTTCATAATGCATGCTCATTATTCTTCCTTAGAAATCTTGTTATTGTTGATTAAATTAGTATTGTAAATCATTATTTTGTTACTCCCCTTAATCTATACCTATTAACAGAAGATTCAGTGAGTAATTACAGATATGATTTTTTTTTATATATAATATCAAAGGCAGCTTACAAGGAAATTGAGTTGACAAAAATTAAAGATCATCTTAAGATGGCAGAGGAAGATATCCAAAGACTTGAAAAAGAAAATGCCGTAAGTTTTATAGACTTAGTCAGCAGAACTTAAAGATACAAGAAATTAATGAATGTTGCAATTCCGTTACTGTTTGTGAGTAATTTTGTTTCATAGTCATCTTGGTTTTTGAAAAAATGATGTTGGTCTGTTTAAAGTAGATATTCTGCATTGATATTCCAGCATTTTCTTGAAAAGTAACTGCATTCTAAATTATATCATTCACATTAGATTTTAAATTAGTTGTTAAGAGTGAATAGTAAAAGGTAGAGATTTTCCTGCCTTGGTTCATGAGAACTGTGCTTACCAGCCACCCCCTGGCCGGGAACTTAGAATTAATGACCTTTCTTGGGATGGATATGTTTTGTTTTTCCACACTTAAATCTTTAATTGGTCCGTAAAAAATTTAATATGTTAGAGTTACAAGAAGAAGTTGACAGCAATGGAGAGAGCATTTGCATCCCCTAGTCCACGGAGTAGTGCCATTGGTCGCCTTATTAGGGAGAGGTATGTCCACAAGATGTCAAGACTCTTACAAAACAGTTTTTATTGATTTACTGGATACATTGTATAAAAAAATGTTTATTTATTATAGAGAACTTCATTTAACAGATAAGTTATTCACATCATAGCAAAACAGCAAAGCTGACAAGCCAATGCCCCCCCTGCACCTAGATATTTTATTGAAACCACCATTATATAGTTAGCAGCACAGTGGGCAAGAAAAAGGAAATCTGATTGGCTATCTAAGCAGGCCCATCTTGCCTGCTTAGTACTGCTTGCTTTGAAAGCCAACATGGAGCCAACCTGCACAGTTCAAAGAAAGAAATAACTGTCAATGTAAGAATTAGCCAAAACATAGAAAGGTATTCCAACTACAAAATTGTGATGTTTTGGCTAATTCTCACAATGACAGTAATTTTTTTAATGAAGTAATTCTTGTAAGCTCTGAATTTGTCTGTGTTAATATTTTTAATTTTTGATGATAAGAAATAGAACAGTGCTGGAGTTTTTTTTTAGTAAGTAGGAAGGGGTCCAACTGAAACCAGGTTTAGTTTGTTAGGTTTGTGATAAAAAGTTGATTTGTTTAGTTTAATTTTGACATGTAATATCAGTGTTATGTTCAATGTAGTCCAGCACCAATGGATATTAAGAGGCCAAGGCTAAGCTGTCCTGAAGACGATTTGGAAAATATTGTTATAGCAGAAACACCATCTCCAAAGTCAAAAGTTTCTTATGGTAACAGTGAACTGAGGAACATTGCAGAAGAGTAAGGAAATCTAGATTTCAGATCATTATAGCGGGTAGAGTTTTTTGCTTGTAATGCATTTGCTACCCATTGGTAGCCTTTACACAAACATCATTGTACTCCTAATATACATGTAGCAGTTATTCTCTTCAAATTTGTTTAAATCAGAAGACTTTGAGGAACAACCAAGCAACATGAATTTGGTTAGACCTCAAAACCCGACTATGGGAGCATAGAACTTTAAAATTTTGCAGGGGAACCTGGTCCTCTCCAGAAATAAGAGACTCCTCAGGCCTTAAAAACCACCAGACTGCTATGCTAAAGAACTTTAAATTGAAATCAGAGGGGGACTTTTGTGCACACTCATATCCAGTGTGGGGGATGCATGTGGGGTTGGCTCATGCCAATGACATGTGGATTTGGTTAATATTCTGTACAGAATGGGATTGTCCCTGGTGAAGACAACAAGCCTAACCTCTCCTCCCAGTCGCACAGTATTGAAGCCTACTCAACAACAGCCTAAAAAGGCTTCAGAACCAGCTGGGGGGTCTGTGTTCAGACGCGGTTATAATGGACTGGGTGGACATACAAAGTTCCTTGCTCCATCAAGACCAATCAAAACAGTATCACGTAAAGTGGCAAGACCCCATGGCATTTCAAAGTTTATCAAACCTGCCAAGCTTATGAGAGTGGCTGACCCTCCTCTTCCTGTCATGGACTTGAATTCAAATTCTTAAATTAAAGAGAACTACTTAGCAAACAATTATTTATTACAGATACTATACAAAATTGTTTGCTTTACTTAATTTATGCAGATTTTGTTATACTAAGGATGACTTTAGGAGAACACTCAAAAATGTACCACGAACATTTTTCCTTTAGTTTGTTTACTTAATAATTTAGATCACAGCAGTCATAATTATCACGGCATTGATATTACCCTACATTGGAAATCAGACAAAACTTGCTAGTCTGATGTGCAATGAGGATACCAAGGACTTTTCATTAATAAACTGTAGTTGATTTTTTTCCCAGGACATTTCATATTGTTCTGTTAGTCACTTACTTCAGCAGTGCTTATAGAGTTCTTGAAAATCTTCATTTGAAATGCTTATGAGGCTTTACATCTACCTTTGTCGGATAGATCAGACCTTTGACTTGTTTCAGTCAAGCTAGAGTCTTTCACTCGAACCGGTGTTGTTAGCAAATTATCAAGAGTGATCAAACATCCAAAACTGGCGACCTTGCATCATTGTCATTTTACTGACAAAGATAATGGAAGGACCAACTCCTACGTGCCCGCTGGCGCACTGTCCTGCTACTCAGTCCATCATTGTGGGCAGCCGCACGAGAAATTATTTGGCTTGGCAGAGAGCCAAATGTTTTCATGTTCAGCCCTACCTAACTCGGGCAAAGAGCAGTTTTTCATACGGGTGTAAAAGGAACGAGCAGGTGAGGGGCCATACAAGTCATAATTTGATAAATTTGGCCGCGAACTGTTACTTAGATACTTGACAAAAATAAAGTACAACAAAGGAAAATTGATGAAGTAAATTAATAAAGGTAGAAAAAGCACCTGGTGAAGACTAGTAAAGACGTTTATATCGCTTTGATCAACCACATGATGCTTTTGAAGTTCATTTTTTTTTATATTTTTGTAATGAAAACAAAACATGTTTCGGATGAAACATCCATTGTCAGTTGTATAATGAGAAATAAAATTAAATTATGCAATGAATAGTATAACAAAGTGAGATGTTAACAAGAGTAATGAAAAAAAAAGTGAAACTATTTAAGTCAAGAAGGGAGACTAATTAGTTTGAAAGGGATAAATTAAGATGTTTGACCTGGGAATTTAAAGACAGCTGCTTCCAAAGGATGTGCATGGCTTCCTTGATTTTCAATTGGAAGCTTGTGGAAGCAGAGTCAAGAATTTTAAAACAATCTTCTGAACAAGGGAGCGACAATTTTCAGAACCTCTCAGGTGCGTAAAGATGTGGGAATGTTTGTGAGAGGAGAGATGTTCGCGGATGCGAGTGGCGACGTGTCTGTTGGTTTCACCAACATAGCGGACCACAGCCTGTACATGAAAACTTATAAATAACTCGCGATCGTAAACCCGCAGGGATAGGATCCTTGACCCAAACCAACTCTTAATTTTAAACGGGGTGAACACCAACTTAATGTCAAGGTTACTGGAAAATGTACTAACTGATTTCTTAATTCTGCGTTGCGTTGTGATGGAAAAAGGACCGATGTACGGTAATTTAAAATAAAAACAATTTTCCTTACGAGCAGCACTCTGAGAAGAATCGGAGGTGAAGTTATTGTTAAGAAATTTTCTCACAACATTCTCGATGACGTTAGAAGGGAACAAGTTCCTCTTTAACGTTTTAACAAGGTTATTTATGTCGAGGTGAAAGCCAGCCCAAGTATTATTAATTTTAAACGTTCGGTCTATCAGAATGCGTATTAATCCTGATTTGTAACTGAAAGGTACAAAACTGTAAAAATTAGTGAGAAGACCAGTGCAAGTCTTCTTATGAAACACAGGGCATTATCTCTTATACAAGGTGATAATGCCCTGATTGCTATAATTGTTATCTAAAAGAACATATAAGAAGGGGAACTTGTGGTTTTCTTCCCTCTCCATAGTAAACTTAATGTTAGGGTGCTGGATGTTGATATAACTATAAAAAGATAAAGTATTCTGTTCGGTATTAAACAAAGCATACATATGAAAGAAGATGTAAGAAAATATAACCAGGAGTAACGACACAACCGCGCGGTTAAATTAATTAAAAGGGAACGCGTTCTCTTAGTGGAATTTGGAAAACCTTATCTCGAAAACGCAATGTGAGAATTTTTTGATTCGACAACGCATTTCGAGAACGCACTTCAAAAATGCAACTGGTAACACTACCCTGCAAGAGGTCACTAGGAACACTATCAAGGACGATCTCAAGATACTTTCATTATTTGCGTTTCCGAATTCCCTTCTCATGTGTCTTACCAATATGCCCCTCCAATATGCCCCTCCAATATGCCCCTCCAATATGCCCCTCCAATATGCCCCTCCAAAATGACTTGCAAAAAAGTTTATTCAAGTATGCGCATCTTTGATGCCAGACATCGAGTTTTAATAACATCAGTTTTCAAGGACGATTAAAACTAATTTTTCTTGTTATGATCAGACAGATTCACTAGATCGGAACCTTTTGGTCAGGTCTAGGGTGAGGGGTACCACAAAATGGATCTACTCTTAATTCTACTGTTCTATTCCCAGCCCCCTGCTCTGAGCTGAGAATTTTTTTTTACCGTCAATTCCACTCAAAGACTCCGTCAAAAACAACAAAGTTGGTTTGTTTTTATTGTTACCAGGCTTATCTGGTAAATTTCTGCACGTGCCATTTCAGAGTTAGCATGCGTTGTAAAACTTCCATAAATTAAGTAACTTGAATTCACAAAATGGACCATAATCAATAATCTCGGAGATGAAACATGATGGTCTAACTAGAGAGCTGAACATGAACCTATGACAGAGGTTTATCAAGATGTACTTATCAAACTCGTTCCTGTATAAAAAAATTGCGGAAAAAATTAATACATGTCAATACCCTTTTATAAAATGATAAAAATATTGTGCTTCTAGTTTAAATGGAAGCATTATTGTAAGTTGAGATGAAGGGATTTTCGAGAGTAAATTTTATTTTATTCGTAGGCAAACTCCTCAGATTCACCAGATTCTAAGGATTCTCCAGATTCAGCTGATTCCCCGGACTCGCCAGATTCCCCGGACTCGCCTGACTCCCCGGACTCACCAGATTCCCCGGACTCACCAGATTCCCCGGATTCTGAGGTCTCCCCGGATTCCCCGGACTCCTCGGATTCAGTAGATTCCCCAGATTCGCCCGATTCTCCGAATTCAGCGGATTCCCCGGACTCGCCGGATTCAGCAGATTCCCCGGACTCGCCAGATTCCCCGGATTCAGCAGATTCTCCTGATTCGGCTTGTGTCTCTGTCTCCTCAGAATTAAACAAGCTTCTTCGCCTTTTTTCGTGGCCTTTATCAGACTTCCCAGAAGCTCCTGATTCTGCAAGATTTCCTGATTCATCAAATTCACCAGAATTAATCGAGTCTGTACCTGGATTGATAGATAACGAAATAATTCACTTTTAAGTATTGTAAATGCTTCATAACAAGACAAATTCATATAAAAATGCATTTTGCTGATCAGTGTAAACAAACTCCTCTCAAGGAAGGGACGGGAGACAGTTTTTTAAATACACTGTCGACGAAATAACAAATACATAGCGTTGCGCAACTCGGAAATGTCATTATCTTGTCACTTTAAATAGCAAACGATGACAAGACATTTGATCCTTGCATGATAACTTAGAGAAATTAACTGCAGACATTTCAATTCAGCAAAGATGGAACCCGGAAGTGGACTTGCCTCCACCGGCGCGCTTATCAGTTATTGGTCTCTGATGGATCAGGGACTTTTCAAGCAATAGGTACAAGAACAAATTGTAGAAGGATATCATTTCTGATGCCCAATATAATTCTCTTGTTACAATAACGTGTTGTTTTTCAATAATTTTAGTTCGTCTGAACTATTTACTTACCATGTGGTCTTGACGAACAGCATTCTAGAGATAAGATCAATACACAACAAACAAGTAAAACATTTGAGATCTTCATTATGTTTCTTCTGATTCTGTGGATTGGAGAAAAAGGAATTGACCGTTATATAAATTTTGTCTTGGAGAAACCAAATTTAAAAACAAGTTACGTCAAATCTATTTCGACTTTGCAGAAATTTACAAAACCGTTAGAACGATATTGAGCGGAAAATATACTTTCACAAGTTTAATTCACCACAGAAAATCAACACGATCAAGGAATTACGTTAATTTATGAAGAAGATCTTTACTTTAGGTTGTTGAGGGGAAATTTTTGCACATAATTTAACAACGCAGGTCGGTAATAAAACTGAATTTTATTTCTAATTTCAAGTCTAACTTTTGACTCACTTTATTCTGATACTCTAACGATCAATTTGAAATGGTTTAATGAGTGTAAGAGATAAAAATCTATGCCAATCAAGCTTTAAGAAATATTGATAATTGACCGTTCGCTTCAACAAAAATCCTCCACTTTAACTGTGATCTCCAAGTTAACTCTCCAAGTTAAAGTTAAGGAAAAAAATGATATCAAACTTATTCATTCGATATTCGTGCCAAGAGTTGTCCCAGTTCGTGCGTTATCGATTTTTCACGTAAACATGTTCACGTATACTTTCGTTAGGTGGCGAATTTTTTTAAATAAAATTGGTCTTCTCTAACTATCCACGTGATTTACAATCCGAGAAGCAACCGCTCTCGACAATATTCCTCAAACAAAGAAAAATTAAAGAGACCACGTTCTCTTTCTCTTAGATCTTAAACTATAGGTCAATGAAAATCAACTGGTGAAAGAAAGGTTTCACCGCAACTTTAACTTTAGCAGAGGATTTCATGGGCTACTCTGGTAAAACGCAGAATTTCCCAGTAAGCCTCCCTAGACAAGATGGCTCTTCGTCATCGGATAGAGAAACTAACTTATCCCGGACCTAACAGAATTTACTTATTGTACCCTAAAGATCTAAATAAACCATAAGAGAGCAAAACTAACAATTCGTTGGTTATGAGCAAAGACCGAAGGTTATCAGTGCGTGGCTAATAAAAGTAGTTATACACGATGTGAATACACCCGTAGGGAGAGAACATGCATATAGCATGGTTTCCACGCACAACCTGTCGGTTGATCTCATTTTTAAAGCTGTGTTGGAAGTCAGAAAATAAGATCAAAGGAAAATCGTGCAAAAAAAGTTTTGATAGCACTTTAGCCGCAGAAACCAAGGTAAAATAGTTTTGTTATATAATCCATGTGTAAAAAGTCGCCCAAGTAAATTATTCTTGTCGTTTGCGTGGGCTGATCTTTTAATGACAAGTCTGTAATGGATTGTCTTGTATTGAGCAAAGTGTAAATAAACACGATGAAGTGGTACAACCAAAGATTGAATACATCGAATCCATGTTACAAATCATGAAACATCGACATTCGTTAGAATAACTTTCTTTTATCTCGGGAAATTGTGAGTTGTAGAGGTTTCTAACATATGACAAAGATTTCTTGTTATAAGTCACTGGTTCTGCTTTTATAATGAAACAGTTAAGAACTTACCTCCTCTGTTACCTTCTCGGTAAATGAAAGCTATGGTATGATATTGTAAACAATGTCCTGCTGTTTAAAAGAGGTAAACAAATAATGAAAGACAAAGATTCCTTTCAATATATCAACATTTCGACCAATCAGAAACAACCTCGTGTCTAAGTTACACGAGCTCACCCTACGTGGCTTAAAGGAAACTAGAATCTGAAATTGGGAATTACTTACACCTAAATGCAAAGGAGTAGTTAAATAAGAGCAACAAATATTAAAAGAACGTCAGATTGTTCATAAAATACAAACTGCTTTCTTTAAATCCGATATTGCGAACGAAGTTTGTTGAAAACGATTAATTAATTACCTGGGTTGAAAGTACCAGAAAAAAGGCCAACAGGTGACAAAACCTTTCCCGAAACAAGTTGTGTATGACTCTGGAATAACACTTTTGAAATCGGACAGAATCATTCAAAGCATCAGCCAAAACTGTCTGACATATCTTACAGCCGGCCCAAACTCGACGAAAGTGCCTGACATCAGAGGGAACCATTTGAAAACAGATGAAACCGTCAAAAATCCGACTGAGCGGACGAAAGCATCTAACTTGATCGGAAAGAGCCACCTGAGCGCACTGAACCATCCCAAATTGAAGAGAACTGTCTGAAACTAAACGAAAGAGCTCTAACTCAGACAGTAAAGTCCAAAAATCCCACAAACCTTCCCAAAATTAGACGGACGGAAGCGTCCGAATGCAAACTGTAATTGAATTGGATAGAACCAGGAAAATTAAACTGAACTCTTAGGAAACTGACCGAACGGCCCAAAATCGGATGGAAACTTCCAAAATCAGAGAGAGCCGTTCAAAACACAACAGGATGACCACTGTTTACTGAGGAAGAAGTTGCATTACTCACACAGCACGTTTTCTACGAGTGACGCGTTTTACGTGTCGAACTAAATTCGTAACTTACATGCGAACACAATAGGGCACGAGACTAGATGTTCCTTCCCACAGGTTTTGTTTTTCCATCCCAACCAGTAGTTTTATTGTAACTGTAACACCTCACAACACAGCTAATAATCTTTAGAAGTTTTGTACTACTTAGGAAATCTACTTGACAGGATATTGCAGAATAAATCTACATAATTATGATGGTTGATGCAAAGAATGTCGCTAACACTTGCTAAGATCGACATTATCCAAATTAAGTTACCGGTGCCATCCTACGTGCTGGATTGGCATTTGCAGTGATAATTTAAATGATCCGATGTTCAAGTTCACCAAGGAATTCTTCACGTTACCCTTCTTAGGGCGAAATGTTTTAGGATCGTGTTGAAATAAGTGATCTGAAAATTGCTTATGTGAATAACCGAGAAATTGACATGAATAAAAAGAGCCTTTCAAAGAAAAGAGTAATACCCTTTCTTTAAAACCTAAAAATCTTCGTTCTTCACTCAACCAGGTCGACCAATGCGGGGTAGCTAGCATTCCATCTGAAACTGTTTATCAATATTTATGTGAAGAATAAAAAAAGATTTGAATCGTAAATTATCTTTGTAACGTGTTTCTCGTCTCAAAGAGCTCTATGAACCATGCCATGTATGAAATATCACATTGTTTTTTCATCTATAGAATGTATATGGATTCCCACTATGAATAGTGTACTGACAATTTGATACGAAGGGCGGAAAAAGTACTTGGAGGTGAGCTGGCCTTTCATACAAAGAGCTCTTAACTGTAGCTTACTGTAGTACTTAGGTTATTCGGTTTATTTCTTTTAGTTATAAGCTCTGATAAAAAAAAACCTGCCAAATTTCATTGTCATTGAGATGCTCTCACAACTGTGTGACCTAGCTATTTCAAAAGTAGAGCTAGATTTGTATTGCCTGTAATAATTTTCCTATCGTCGATTAAAATTTGAGTCCAAAAGTGGCGAATCAAGGCGGCATCCTTTCTCACGACAACCTCCCCCACGTTGATGACTTGTCTAAGGAACGTTTTTATTATGATCACAACAAACAACTCATACTTTAATATTAGCAAACAATGCACGACAGGCAAGTATCTACAAAGGCAATGGGGGTGGAGTGGGGAAGAGGGTAGCATATACAGTGTTTGGTGCTGATGCACACCATCTCATTTTTCACAAATTATCTCTGAAGCACATCGTTTACGGATACGGGTTCTGCGATAATACTCTGAACATGTCAATGGAGGTGTGGGTGAGATGATGACAAGCAGCTGTAAAACATCACTTTTGTCCTTTCTTTTTCTTGGATGGAGATTTTTCAGAAGTAGCTGATCCCGGATGCTGCGACTTTTTAGGATGAGCCTCGCGCTTGGTTATCTGATGTACGAAATAAGAACATTGATAACGTAATTTTTCAATAAAAATCGCTTATCCCTATCATCACTTGCGTTCAGAAATCGCGTTGATTTCTTTCAAAATTGAACAGAACGAAAGTGTCCTCCATAAAAAAATGGGAACCTTTTAAGTTGATGGAGTTGATAGCGAGAAGATCCCTGTGAAGACCTAACATTGTGAAGAATACTTAATCACTTGCTAGGTCCCATAGACGACAGCAGGAAAAGAGCTAGCGGCATTTCCTTTAAGAAATTAATGACCAAACTCATAAAAATCAATAAAAGAAGCAGTTACCCCTTTCAAAATTTTGTATTTCAGTTCTTGTTGGGTTAGAGGTCGTTGGTCATCCTCGGAACCTGACGAAGCATCTGAGTCGTAATCATCACCAGTTGTAGGCGGAACAATCGCCACTGAAGTCATTCCTGGCTGAGGCCCCTGACCTAAAAGACCTACTGCCACGGCGGGCTCACTATCACCATCAGTTTCCTTGAAAATAAGTAACGAAACATGCGCGATTACAACCATCGCAAAACAGAACATATTTACATAACAATGTGAACATTGAGAAATAATTTTTTTTTCGTCGTGTCACGAGCGTGGGACAAAGAAAAAAATTCTGAGTCCCCATGTGAACATTATTTGCAGTACACTGTTTACCTTTGAAGAGACAAAGCCATGGACTTGAAGAAGCTCATTTGTTCTTTGTTCGATTAACCCAAGGAACTTAAATCAAATAACAATGGAAGTTAATACATGTGTACGGCGGTATCATCCTGGCAGATTTAGTTCATAGGCGCTCTGACAAGCTTTTACTGAACGATTTGAGGTGAACAGTGAAACAAGAGAAGAAAAAGAAAGAGACACATTCAGTTAGTATTCATATTCCATGCAACACATGCGTGTAAACCAGTTGGGCATATTACTATATATTGTGTTACTGGACAAATACAAAGAGGTTTGACATTGCCAAACAACAGCGAGTTCTCAAAATTTTATGAGATTTAATAGATGTTGTAGGTAAATCAAACTTAAAAGGACTTCAACTTTCTTCGCAACGTTTTTTCCCTTCCATTTTTATTTTCAACATCCCGAAAAGGTAAAATCTGGAAACGAAGGCTACGAACTGGGAAGACTACCAACTGTCACTTGTGTTTTGGCCATTTTCCTACACATTATGGTGACGTACAGTACACACCCAAATTGTGCAAACTTATTAACCTGTCTAGTACTGAATAAATCAGCCCGATGAAAAATGAAAAAACTGCAAATTCCTTCGCTACCTGCATCATATTGGCATCAGTAACTCCAGATGTTCCTCCAAGCATGTCTGTTATGGCGCTTCGGTCACAGTTGATCTTGTTAAATAAAGAGTCCACCCCTGAAAATTAAGAAGAATACAGCACAATTATTGGCTAATCAAAGTTAGTGGCTAGTTTCAACAATCATCACAGACGGGTCCACTTAAAAGAAAGCATAAAGTACGTCCTAACGAGAACTTTTCGTCGTCAATTCCGATATGCCTTTGGAATATCTTCTCTTGTCTGACTTCATAAGCGATAATCTTGTTTATCACAGGTAAATTTCAACAACTGAAAGCACTCGAATGCTGACTGTCACTCAGGTTAAATAAACTTAAAGGCTGGTCTTTTTTTCTCCGCAGAAAATTGTTGTAGATCAACTGAGCCTTAGTTTATAGGAAATTTACCTGATTTTAGTTGTTCAATTATTTTCTTGCTCTGCTTAAACTGCGTGTCATATTGATCAGCTTGTTCCGTGGATGATGACAAGTTATCCTCTAAACCCTTCAAAAGGGCTTTCCTTTGGCTAGCCATCTCCACTTCCTCACTTTTGAACTTCTCAATTTCTGCTTGATTCTGATGATAACAAAAAGCGCGCATATACACGAATTTCTCTTCCTTATCTCAAACAAGATATTAAACTAATGCTGGCCAGTGACAAAATTGTTCATGCACCAAACGAGTATTTTTGCGGTTACAGTTAATAAAGTTGGGTTCTGATTGGAGACCTGAGGTTACCGGTGTTCAACAGTATCAAGCAATGTATCCATAAACGAAAGAAGCTTAATAAATTAACAGGGTTTTAAAGTTCGATGAGCAGTCATCTTCTAGGGGCTGCAGCTTTATCGATTTACACGAGATGATTTATTATGAAAAACGAATGCCAACGTTGCCACTGGAACTATACATGACGGGGGGGGGGGGGGTGGGGGGGTGAGGGGAAGAGGAGAAGGGGTAGGAATAGAAATAACTGATAATATCACTTAAGATATCCGTAAACGTTTTCCTTTACCTCGTTTATTTGTTCTTGCAGCTGCTCGATTTCATTATTGAGTTCGTTGACGTAGTTGAAGAGGGCAAAATTTTTGTCTTCGACTTCTATGAATTTATTGACCAACTGATCAATGTCCTCAATACCAGTGGCTTCTTTGATGGTGTGGAAAGCTGACTCGTATGACTAAAATGAAGGAAGCAGTTATATCACAGAAACTATTAAAAAAAACATTCAACAGAACCAGAATATATTCTTATCTCTTTAATATCCCGACAAACTGTTTACGCGCAAAAAGAGTGACAATTGCAAACAGACATTGCACCCAATCAACTTACATGACATCTTGGGCTCAACTGTGCATGCCTTTGGATAGAATAGAAAATATTTCACCAGTGCTAACACTGAGTAGTCTTGTTGGCTATATCAGCTATGTTATGTCTTGGGTATCAAAAATTATTCTCGTAGCGCCAATTTTTTTCCTATACGCCCCGGCTATCTGTCCTCAGAATTTGACTTGCTAACACTGCTAACATTACTGCTGTAAAAAGGTTACTCAGTGGTATGTTTGGTAAATTCCTCCTTGAATTGTAGCACTACAAAAATCAGTGACAAGAGACTTGTGTCAATCTAGGAGACGCATGACATTCTACAAACCTCAATAGTTTCCTCAGCTTTGTCGCCTTTTTCCTTTTCATCTTTTTTCTTCCTCTGAGATGACAATTCGCCTTCCATCATTTCAGCTCTCTCTTCGCTTTTAATCCTCATGAAATCTTTCAGCTTGCGATCATGCTCAATGATACGCATAAGCTCCTTTAGTTCCGTGTTGTATTGTGCCAGATCTTTATCAGCTTTCTCTTTCAGCGCCATCATCTTCCCTTGCGCTTCATCTCTACCAAAGATACGACCAAGGCGTGTGAATTAAACATAGTTCAGTGTACTTACTTAAAGGGTGAAGAGTCCCCGGGGGATGTGGTTCATTACTTGAAAATCTAAGAATTTTTCCCATCACGATGAAAGAGGAACCTGAAGTGGAGCTGAAACATAGTTACACAACTATGTAAGTTTGAAATCGCGAGGAATCTGTTGGCTTCCCTTAGAAACTTTTGAAAACAAACGTGCTCTCTCTATTTTTATGAACCCGCCAAAAAATAAAATTAACAAAGTAAAAATATGACAACTGCATTCTCAATTGCCCTGAAAAAATATAAATAAAAGAAAAAAAAGATGACTAATTATCATAAAAAAAATGGAAAGAAAACGGATACATGGGACCATAAATCTTTGCAAAGTTTTCTTTCAGATTGAGAATCAGTCCGAAAAGAATTAATTATTAGGACTATCAATAATTCCACAAAAATAAATTTACGGTTTGCTATAAAGTCTGAAGAGCATGGTACGAACCGAGCCTCATAGGCTGCTGTGGATGTTTCAATACCATCCATAATTTTCTGCTTATTCTCCGCTAACTCCTTCTCTAGCTTCAGACGAATGGTGTCAAAAGTCTTCTTTTCCACTCGCATGTGATCAAATGTTTCACGGAGCTTACCGTTCTCTGACAAGCAACTGTTAAAGTCTATTTTGGCCTGCAGAGAAAGAGAACAGTCTCTACATGAACATATACATGAATATGGTGCCCCGCAGTGACTGTAACTGATCAGCACTGCAAGATCATGCATTACCAAATGAACCAAATACCTTTTTGGCTCAATAAGGTTATTGATATGAATTGAGTCAAAGCAGAGCGCCAGTGTATTAAAATAGCTCAGTGCCATTGTTTAGAAAAGTCAAGAATTTGTTCTAAGAATATCACCCCGACCTCTGGGTCGTCGGCGCGCCGCAAGTTCAAAATTAAATAACTTTTAGAAAAACGCCAATTACCTGTGGTCCAGCCTTTGATATTCCTCTACAATAATTGAAAAATTTGTGCAGAAAAGGCGAATAAGTACAACATAACTCTCTATGGATGTGAGCAAAATGAGTTGAAATCGACACACTCAAACACAGCAAAGATTCGCAATCTCTCTCGTATGTAAGGATTGTTCATTTTTAATTAAGAAACGCACGATTCCTTCCATGTCCGAGACACTCGAAAAAGGAAATTCAAAGAGAGTAACCTTTACCTTGTCTAATCTGTTTTCAAGAACTCTGATATACTTTTGGGTCCTCTTATTCTGTAGGTGGCTGCTATGTACACTAATAAAAAAATTAAATTTAATGAACGTTTTATAGAGAAAGAAAAAGAACTGGACGATGAATGTATAGGATGTATAGCATATCAAAGAAGTGCCAAAGGCAGCGAGTTTACACTAGAAAAACAAGTTATAAAACCTCTGCAAATAAACTTTTTTTGGGACCTCTGAAACAGACGTAATAAAGTAAAAACAAATGTTATCAGGTGATAATCTGGGTCTACTCTAGGAATGGGTCAAAGAGGACACAGTGGGCCCCTTACTTTACTTCCTTCCTTTAATCTTGAGGGGGGATGGAGGAGAGGAGAGGAAGAAACACTTTGTAATGAAAGGGAGCCCAAGATACCAGAGGTAATACAAGAGGTACCTGAAAAATAGCTAGAAAAGCAAAAAAACCTCCAGAAACACATTTATAAGCTCAATGATAAAAAATCAGTCTGCAACTTTTGGATTGTTCAGTAACTATGGACTAGTTTACTCATAAAAATGTAAAAAAATGTTATCTTTATTGTCAAAAATCATACATCTTACCCTCCCATATTTTTTCTTTGCTGTTTAGTCTTCTTTTCCATCACTCGTATCTACAGGTTGAAATACAATGTTTAATCACTCAAGGAAGTAAAACGTAGGGTCAGACTCATGGAATTGACAAGGAGACAGATATTGTTCAAAATCCACATAACAGATGACATATATAGGTTATATACTGAGCAACCTGTGCACACAATTCTTACCTGATCATCAAGTCTCTTTATGTCATCATTCACCTCATCAAGCTGCAACTTGATATCATCTAAAATGTACAACAAAATTCCTTTTATTGAAATACTTCTCAAACCAATCTTTTTTTAATATTTCATGTATATATTAACATTATTAATAGTATATCGAGTAGTCTGATGTCAGATTGTCAGAGTAGTCCTCTGTTTGATATTGCAAAAAGTTCTTGAATACAAACTTTCAAAAAAGTGTCTTAAGGAGGCTCCATGGGGTTTTTGTTCAATGTTGGCACACACACCAATTTTTATTTTTAATTTTTTTGTTTTTGCTTTTTTTAGGTCACTAGAAGCCATTGAAAGGGCGATCAGCAAGGTTTGGACTATCATTTACTGTAGTAAATATTATCAAAATGATTTTCGTTATTAAGCTAAGGCTCCTCAAAGGGAAGCACTCACCAGTGATAATTTACCTTTGATTTTCTTCAATTTGCTTTGGTTAAATCTCTCAAAATTTTCACAATTAATGAAAATTTGCTCTGCCTATCATTTAAAAGCGGAAAAAAATAGGGGTTACAAAGGTAGTTTCCTTGCTATTTGCAATTTTGTGTTTTCTTCCTCTACCTCAAATTTGGTCTTATGAATTTTTTTATCAACAAGCACTAGGGAGGGCACAAATATGTTTAATGGTCCAGCAAATCTTAGGAAATTCCACCAATAGAAACAAGATAAATCTGACTCAAAAGATCCTTATTTTCTTTGTTGCCATGTTTGTTTTGCATGTTAACACTTTTAAAGCTCACGCTTTGTTTGCACTCAGATCTCGTGTGGTCAAAAAACCCTATGGAGCCTCCTTAAAATGCATTTATAACTCAACTTAGGAATTATCAACATTTCAAAAACAAATCAGTAACCAGGCCACCTATGCCTGACATTGTTTTGAGGGGTCGCAATTAACCAAAATGTGGGACAAATATAACAGCTGATGTTTTCATCATATTTGAGTTTTTGTGTAGCTCTTAATTGTTCAAACTGATCACCAAGAGATGGATGAAAGGCAGAGATAAAAATTGTCTGGCTTATGGAGCACAATCCTCCTTTGAAACACCACAATAAACTACATAATAATAAACAGCAATTTAATTACCTTCTTTGCTTAAAAGGCTGTTTAGTTTGTCTGTATTTGTTCTATCCTAGGTGTAAAGAAAGCAATTGAAATAAGTAATTTGAGTCTCTTATAAGAGGATAAACAATACCTCTGCCTAACTGAGTTGAGGTTCTCACATAAACTATTACTCCATCCATAATAAAATTTCACACAGCTAGGAAAATGGCAGATGAAAAGTTATTCTGTTTAGGTTTTAAAGTGGTAAGTACTGAAACTCTTAACTCCCTATTCCAAATTATAGGTGCAGTAAATGAAAAATTAAACATGGCTGCTGAATTACCTGGCTCTGGTTCTGCAAACTTCCTGCTAAAGTATTATCTTTCATCAGCTCTTCATTTTCTTTTTCAAGGGACTGAATGGCTTCCCTATTACAGGACGAGAAAGTTGTAAGCATTGGTCATATTTAATCTAACCTCTTTGTTTTAAAGCTTATATTGTTAATGTTTATACATTTTGAAGAGGTTTGCTTCTAGAAATACCATATCCAACCCAACAAAGGTTTCTAGAAAATCTTCTGAATAAGGGGGTTTAGCAAGCATCAAATCAATTGTAAAGGAAACTAATGTGACAAAAACACAAAATCCCGTTCTGCAACCTGAGAGCATTAAAGATTCAGTCAAAGCAGGAGTTACAAGTGGGATACAGATTTTCTTCTTGGTGGATAGTGATTTTGCTTGTATTGTGACAGAGCATGAATACAGAGTATAATGTATTATTACCTACAAAAAATTGTTATTTGACTTACACAATATGTAAGTTATGTACAATTAAATCCCACACATAGCAATATGTTCCATATGAATACTTATAAAATCAAGAGCATCTAAAGGTGATCCAGGCTCATATTTACCACTGCATTTTTTTTCAGATTTAGTGTTTTGCTGGTTCCATTATTTAGCTCCATTTAATTATCTCATCATAAAATAATGAGCATTTTACATTTACATGTTTAGTTTAAACCTTTATTGGATTCAGATGTGTATATGGCTCTGAAGACAATAAACCCCAGTAAGGCCACTCAGGTGCAGACAACATCTCGGCTAAGTATTTGAAGATCACTGCACCCCACATTAGTGGAACTTTAACCAAGATATTTAACCAATCGTACAATTGTGGCCGATACCCATCTGCATGGAAGATCGCAAAAGTAAGTCCTGTTTTTAAGGGGGGGGTCAAAGGCAGAATGCGATAATTACAGACCAATATCTGTGCTCCCGTGTATTTCTAAGATACATAAATCTCTTACAAACAAGGCCCTTGTTAGTTATGCACAAGAAGCTGGTCTGATAAAGCAACACCAATTCGCCTTTAAGAAACATTCATCAACTATGGTTTCCCTAATTCGAGCTGTAGATTCATGGAAAATGGCTATTGACAGATCAGAAAAAGTAGTATGTGCGTTTTTGGATTTAAAGAAAGCCTTCGACGTTGTAGACCATAATGTCTTGCTACAGAAGCTTGCTCAACATGGTGTGACTGGCAAGGAACATGAGTGGTTTGAAAGCTATCTGTCTGGAAGACTCCAGTTTGTCTCATGTGATGGAACTGATTCCGAGCAATTGACGATTACCTATGGAATACCGCAGGGTTCTGTGCTAGGCCCGACTCTATTTAATATTCATATAGATAGCATTTCAGACATTTGTGATAGCTGTGATATTGTATTGTATGCCGACGATACAGGAATACACATCAGATGTTAAAATTGCTGAACAGTATGTAAATGAAGATCTTGGAAGAGTTACCGATCGGCTTAGTACTGATGGTCTTATCTGCAATCACAAGAAATCCGAAGCAATCCTGATAGGATCAAAACACGCAGTGAAAAATGCTCCAGACTTACAAATCATTATGGATGGGAGGCTACTGAAACAGTGTGAAGACTTCAAATATTTAGGTGTTTATATAGATAATACTCTTAGCTGGAACAAGCATATTACATATTTAGCCTCTAGGATATATCCCAAGCTTAAGATGTTAAATAGAATTGCACCCTTTCTTAGTCAAAGGGTGCTTTTAAATATCTATAAACAAACGATATTGCCCATAGTAGACTATGGCTGTATCGTATGGGGGGACTGTGGAAAGAACAACTCACAGCGTTTAGAAAGGTTACAAAATCAGGCCATGCCTACTATCCTCTCTACAAATCGTAATACATGTTCTCAAGAAATGCGTAGTAAGCTTTCCTTATTATCATTGGAGAGTAGACATAGATTCCTAAGACTTAATCTTGTTTTTAAGATTATACATAACATAAATTGCCCACAGCAATTAGAGAACTATCTCCTTAAGAGATCAGCCTTTCATACCAGAGATTTTAGAGACCTTATTGAACATTGTTGCTACAAAGACCAAAATGGGTCAAACGTCATTTAAATGTACCACTGCTAGGGAGTGGAATCTTTTACCAAAGGACATTCAAGAGATGCAGTCTTTATCTAAATTTAAGGCGATAGTTTTGAATATTTTTTAGAACACAATAAATCTAATCCTTTATGTAGTTTAAAATAAGTATTACCTTTTCTATATATTTTATGTTATTTTAATTCATACTTTAGTTCTTTATAGGGTTTGTCCTTTGATTTTGATTGATACTATTTATCATGCTGATCAATAGTTTATACCAGCCAATCTATTAGATTGCTGATTAGTCTTATCAGTTGAAATAAAGCTTATTATTATTATTATTATTATTATTATTATTATTATTATTATTACATTACTATACTGATGATATTTGTCCTATGGTCTGTTGCACTTTACTACAGAAGTTGTTATAATATCCAATTCTCATCTTGAGCTTGCTCCTGTACTTTTCTGGCCCCAAAAGTTATACCCCTTGGATAGTAATACATTAAAATAATTTGTACTAAGGCTAATGATCAACATACACCATAACTATACACTGTACTTCTCAGTAGTGATGTGCAAAGCGTATTTTACCAAATAAAATCTGTTAACTATGTTCATAACTGATGTCATGCTAATTTTCAGGATAAACAAAAATTTCAGTATCACTATGCAGATTTTTTGGCCTCAATCACAGGAAATCACATAATACAAATACAACATTCTAAAGAACAAACTTACGTCTGTTTTCGTATTTGATTCTGTGTCTCTTCACTATAAGCCCTTCTGTCTCCTTCGATTATTCGATATTGACGCTGAAGTTTAGCAAGCTCTTGTTCAGCTGTATCCCAAGAGATAAAAAGAAAGCATCAAGTAACACCCTAAGCATGTATCAAATCAGAAGTATTATCTCTCAAATTTTGAGATTTGAATAACAAGATAATAGGATGGTTCATGCAAAAAAAATTTTTAAACCAATCTAGCTTGTGATTTGACAGTTTAAAAAATCTAGTGTAATAAGCCCTGTAAACCCTAAACGTCCTTTCTTTCACACAAATCAAAGGAAAAACACCAAGTCTTATTTGAAATTATTATTATACAGTTGCCTCGTTTTTTTTTTTTTGTTTTATTTTTGTTTAAATAAGAGTTTCTTGTAGATATCATTGGCATCTGATTGGATAATCTGACTGAAGCAATGTGAACAAATTAAAAAATGATGACACTTTGAGGCTTCACACTTTGATATGGCTGGTTGAAGTGAATTTTCACGTTTTTTCAACACACTGCAAGGGGCAAAATTACCTAATCCATCAACCTCTGCCTCGCTTCCTTCAGATCTTCTACTATGGACTCTTTGCATGTTGATTCTGGAAAAAGTATACACTCACATTAACACATGCATTTAGGTGAGAGAGTCAACTGATCATATGATCGTGCTGGTTTATGTCATAACTTACATGACTAGTTTTTTCTGATATTGATTGAAAACAACTTTTGATAGCTTGATGAATAAAATTGTCAACAAAGCTTGATCATGAGTTTATCGTCGACTAAAGCCCAATGTCGAAAGAGACAAAGACAAAATCATTTTAACTGAATCTAACAGAAAACACAATCTCCAAAAATAATTTATACTTAAAAAAGGGAGATCGCATGCGTTTGTTAACTTACCAAATTGTTTCTCGGAAAACTTACAAAATTATTGAGATGAAACTGAGGTTGAAGCCTTTGCTTATGTGTTCGAAAGCCCCCGTTTGTCGACGGTGTGATTCGTTGTCATAGGAATGGACAGTTCTCCACTCATTCATGGTCAGCGGCTTCAATTGCTATCAGGATTTCACAATATATATGTTTACATGAGATCACCTACTATGAAGATCAAACCGCTGATCTAAAGAGTATTCAACACGCGGACTTCAGAAGTTAACCGTACAACGCTGTTCTTCCTAATTTGCTTAGCTGCAAATTTCAAACGAAAACAACAGCCCAGAAAACACAAACAATATTTCTAACTGAATCCGAGCAGAATATATTAGCAAGGGATCTTGTCAAGAGGGAAAGTGACATCAAGTTAACAGTGAGTGTAGGCGTATTATTGGAGAGCGCAGGGGACATTCAGCAAAAGGATCAACCATGGTGCGGGCTCCTCCACCAAGTCGGGCTATCAAAAGGGCAAAAATCCTTGCTCTTGCAAAGGTAACGTTCATTCGAGTAGAAATCGTATGGAAAATTTCCTAGATGCTATTTCAGCATGTTGAGATTGAACATACTTAACACTTGACCACACAGCTTGTCTTTGGAGTGAGTCAGGAAAAAATTATATATATTCACATCCAAATATTGTAAATATTTCATTCTCCCTCACCACATTCGTCCGATTAAAAAATATTTTCCTTCTAATTCGGACAGAAAACTAGATAAAGCAGAGACAATAAAATAACTACGGTAAATACAATTTGGGTAGCTTGTTTCAAGTTGAACAAATACCTGAGGTACAGCCATTCTACTTCCATCATACATAATGAAAATAAAACTTTGAGATTTCTTTTTTGGAACATGTTTACTTTGTATCTTCTAAAGAATGATTAGTAATCTCACAGGAAATTGAATTGTAAAGCCTACCATTTGCATTATTCTAAAGTTTCCAAATTGTCTGTTTACTTCTCATGCCCTGCACAAGTACAATTTTTGTGCTTGAGTTGAGGGAGTTAAGTTTTTAGAAGGTTTTTTGATAAGGGAGTTCAAATCTGTTTGCAAATTTGGAATAGTTGAGCCAATTTGCCTTACAAAGTTAGTTTGGATTTCATGTAAAAGGCACTCTTTCTTGCAGATGCCAGAGATAATAATGACTTTGAACCTTAAGCTCATTTCTTGGGTTGTGTTCTTTGGGGATCAATCATTCCAACCTGAACCAATCATCCAATAGAGGACATAAGCAACTGTTTTTTGGTTAAAAGACAATACTTACAGCCATTAACAGACTTCTTTACTTTCACAAGTTTAGGGAAGACAACTGGGTTACCATTTTATATCTTTTGGCACAATTCGTAGTGCTTTGGGCTAGGTTATAGCATAATGAATCTGTAGCTTCTTGAATTTCTAGCTTTTCAATATATCATCTGAAACTCTACTTCAGTTTTTGCTTGCAACAAGCATTGTGGCTGGCAACTGATGACCGCAGTTGACTTCTAGAAGCCCATGAATTTGATAGTAGCTGCTACCCATGCTTTTCCAACTGTTTTAACCTGGCTTTATTCTGGTTGAAAATGTTTCCCCACCAAATTACCATTTTTTTCACTCTAACTTAAAGACAGTAATTTCTGAAAATAGACATATCTCAACAGGACATGACCTCAGCCTTTCCATGTTGAACAATAAAAACCACAAATTTATCAATTGTTTAATATTTCTAAAAATGTGAACCATTCCTGGGGTTAAGAAAATAACTTAATTTTTTGTTATTATCAGAACATGCTTGACTCTCTCCTTGTCCTTTTCCTGTTTTGTTTATTTCAGGGTTTCCGCGGTCGTTCAAAGAACTGCTATAGTATTGCAATTAGAAGAGTACATAAGGCTCTGCAATATCAATACATTAGTAGGAGGTTAAAGAAAAGAGAAATGCGTGCAGTGAGTCATTATTTACCTCTTTTTACTTGGTAGTAAATGATTTTGACACAATCTTTTCAAAACACTGTGTTAACTCTCGAGATCTGATTGTTAGTTCTCCTCTCTAGCTGCTGCAATTTTCCCTGTGAATTAATTATAACAATTCGTTAATTAGTTACAGGAGTATTCTCAACACCTGTTTGTTGGATAAAGTATGAATATTATAGGGAGAGATTACATTTTAATCTGGGAATTAAATGATTAATGTTCTCATTATTCTCCTTACAGCTTTGGATAACAAGAATAAATATTGCTACAAGAGAGCATAATGTCAACTACTCTAATTTCATCAACAAAATGGCCCAGGTATGAGAAATAATCTCAGTCTAAACCAGTGAGTTTGTATGGACAGTTTACATTTGGTGGGGCATTTTTATTCATGTATACAATGACAATGCATTAAAGATACTCTTTTGCTGTGGCTTACTAAGTTTATTTCATAACCATGTTTACTTAAGGGATTTTCCACTTACATTTCTTTTTTAAGTGGATGTAATATAAACACAGAATTCATTTTTGTTATAGTAAACTGTATTAGCTGAAAAAGGCAAAATGTTTTATTGCCCTCTCTGGGGAAAAAACACCACAGGCAATATTACTATGATTGTTTAAAATAGTTTTCTTTTCTTCTTTGTCAGTGCAATATCCAGTTAAACAGGAAGATCCTTGCAGACCTTGCTATACATGAACCCAGATCTTTCAAGGTCTGTGTGTTTAGTAATTAGGTTGTTATATTGCAAAATGAAAGCATGTTCTCTCAGAAATGGGCAGATAGAGAAAAATTCTATAAGCTTAAGATGTTTTATGGACCCAAACCAAACATATGCTAGCCATAGTATGGCAGTTATGTTTTCTTTACTGAAATTTGACTCCTTATATCATGATTAATGTCTTTTACCAAGAAGTATCAAGGAATATTAAGAGTTCCTTTGAAGTGTAAGCAGGATAATTCATAAACACCAAAAAGGAAGTCATAAAATACAAGTTAATGCTCACTCGTGTTTCACTTTTCTTGTTTTCCTTTCTTGGTTGGGGTGTTGGGTGAAAACTAGTTGTTTTGGTTATTATGATATTTGCTGTGGACAATAACTGTGGTTCATTACAGAACAGACCCTGAATTAAGGCAATTTACTGTATTGAATGGTGGCTGTTGTTGTTTTTTTTTGTTGGTTTGTTTGTTTGTTTGTTTGTTTTTTTCAAGCATGGTGAAAGATAATGATTTTCAATCAAATTCACGCAAAATGCAAAAATAAATTACATGATGTTAGTGGAAGTTGACTATAATTTTTAATTATTTGTTGCTTTGTTTACAGGCCCTGTCAGAACTTGCAAAGAGTCGACTGAAAGATGGTTTACTGGCAGCCATTTAATAATTTATGTAACCTCCACTGAGCTATTTTGAACAATTTTTACCTATCGCAGCTCTGGTTGTAAGAGTGGAGAGGTTTTAATTGCCAGGTAGCAGCTCTGTCATTCAATAGATACTAGGAAATTTGTTATATTTTTTTTAAAAAGCTGCTTGCTTATTCTTTGTCATACCACAATATCTCTTTTCTTTGAAGTGGAGAAGTTACATAAATTTTTTTTAAGTTGAGTGCATGAAATGTTTTTTGACTGCGCTCCAGTTTTATTTATTAGCTTACCTAATGATTTTAGAAGTTGTTTCTGTTAATTTTGTCACATTAGGTAATTTTTCAAGATATCTGTTATCTGAGGTAGCCAAAAATTGAAAAAGCATGATGGCTTGAGGGTAATGAAGCCCTTTTGCTGTGAACCAGATATCAACTGCTGTATCAATATGGTGAGGTCTCTGCTCAAGTTTCACCTGCTCACACTCCTGGTAAATTTGCCTACTTCCCTGATCTAACTATCAGCTTATGTATCTTTGCGGCCTTCTATACCCTTCCAATGATACATTTGCAACCGTTGTTACTGAAGTTTGCTTGAAATGGGCAGAACTTGTAGAAAACTTTGAGGAATATTTGAGCATCTCTAGGATAAATGAATGAGTCTGGATGTGAAATTAAAATAAATGAAATAGGGGAAGACAGCTTGGATTAAGGGTATGTATTTTGATAAAAAATGATGGGAAGTCTGGTCTGTATATTTGAATTCTTCACTCTTAATATAAAGCAATGTTATAATTTTGCACATGCCATTGAAGTCTCCTTAAGTCTAACCCAGAAAAAAACAAAGGAATGTGATTGAGGAATATAAGGGGCTGGGTTTGCTTGCCTCTCCCTGGTCAGAGAAAAGTAGTCATAGGGAAATGTCACATGAACAAAGATATAGTCAAAGCACAAGGGGAAATCAAAATTGATGTTTTTAAAACATCAGCATGGATGGAGGACATCACTTGATTTTCTTGTTCATTAGCGCAAGTCAGTTGTATTCATTTAAATTGTCATTCTTTCCCTCAGAATGGTTGTTGTTTAAGAATTAAAATTATGTTTAAGTGACACTTGTTTCAGAATTAGCATCTGAAACCTGGAGTTTTGTTTTTCCTTCTACCTCCCTTGCAAATATTTTTTTCCAGGACTGGGGAAATTGTAAGGGTGTTTATATAAATTTACAAAGAGCTCTATAAGATGGAGTATGGTTGTGTGAGGCAGCAGTCACCTCCTACTTAGACCTGTGTCAGGTGTCTCTATCGTGGTGCAATAGGAACAGCAGAGCAAAAATTTGTAAGCTCTAGGGGAATAAAAGAAGGGATGCTCTATCCCTACCATACTGCAAGGTTAACAAAATAAACCACCGCAGCAGGTTATCTCCCTAGCCTATGTTAAGCACCGCAGCATACTATTTGTGCTATACTTCCATTTGTTTACATGTGCCAACAATGAAGCTGCAAAGGTTGGCAGTAAAATATTAATTAAAAGATCCAAATTTTCTATCCTGTATTTTTTCATATGTTGTTTCAAATTCTTCCTTAAAAAATTGGAATTGAATATTGATGCAAAGTAGGCTAAAAGAAACGCCAAAATTGGTCCATTTTCACAACTGCATCACCTAAACGTGGTACTGTGTTTGTGGGGACGGCAGGGGCTGGGTGAACCTCCTCCCAGGAGATTCCTTATCAGTTTTAAAGATAGCTGCATCATTACCTGAAAAAAAAACTCTGAGG